CCCCGCCCCCCCGCCCCGCCCCCCCCCCCCCGCCGCCCCCCCCCCGCCGCCCCCCCCCCCCCCCCCCCCCCCCCCCCCCCCCTAAAAAAGAAAGAAAAAAATATTAATACTGATAATTACCTACCGGGAAGGATGAGAATATGTGAACCTGGGGCATGGGTCAATATAGCATTTTGGTTCTGAGAGGAACCTTGTGGGGCGTTCTGTAATGGTAAAGGAGCTTTGTTGTGCATGGAAATTAAAGAAGAAACACTCTTAGGAGTAGGGGAAGGAAGATGACTGGCCAAAGTGAACGCACGCTGGGTTGGTTGGGTCCAAGTTCCAGATTCAGTTTCCGTTTTGGTGTCCATTCGTTTGATACGCTTTCCTTCTGAATGAGTTTGCGATTCAGTATCCTCTTGCCTCATACGTTTCCCAAGTTCTGGGTGATTTTCATTCGGGTCAGATGGTTCTACCTCACAGCTAGCAAAGGTAAATAACTCTTTGAATCCAGATTTTGTAATTGTGGTTTGGCTTAAGGGGAAAGCATCTCCCTTGATCTCTATCAAGGAGATCTGAGGCGGTTTTCTCTTTTTACTTGGTACGTCCATATTGGAAGTCGACCTGTTAAAATAGATATATTTAGCAATGTTGTTTAGGTAGGTTATTAAGTATCAAGAGTTTCCTGTGCAGTTGAAGAATGATGTTTCAAACCCATATCTCTCAAAAGCTGATGTGCCGTATCGAATGTAATGGAAATGGAAGTGAAAGTGAAAGTAAGGAATGGGGAAAAGAGAAAAGGATATAAAGTGCGAGGATAATAAGTGCCGTGATATTTTCATAAGGGTATAGGTACTTACATCTTCCAAGTTGTGAGGGCCGTTAGAAACTGAGGATGCCAAGAGGAGAATTCTAATTTAACAGGCTCTCTATATAGAAGAATATTTAAATAGTTCCTTTCGACTACAATCTCAGTCGGTAACTGTTACTACCTCGTGTCAAATTTAGTTTGAGGAAGCCACTTTCTAACTATCCGTACCTATGTACCTGGTAGGTACCTTAGGCAGGTACGTACGTACATACGCAGGGAAATAGCACTACATGTATTAAATGGTAATGTACCTCAAGTAATTTTTACCTAATACCGACAGTTATTCCTATTTACATGCATTGGTGCTCAACTTCCATGGGCACATATTATGTAGGTAGGCAATTATTCTTCGTCAAAGCCCTGTTAATATGTTAGCATCATGGCTATTAAACTCGATATGCTCATTAAGGTCTTATGCACTTTTAATTCGGAGCTCGTACCTAGGTACCTATACGATGCATTCAATTTCATCACACGAGGTGGAACTTGGGGGCGACTTCGTTTTTCCAAAAGGGGTGTTTAACTAACAAAGTATTTAAATTATATAAACTTACGGTCCTTCATCTTAAAGGTATTCTGAAATATGTCATCTGGATTGTTAACGGTGTAATTTATAATCTATAATGGTTTCGGAATATCCTTCCAATGTAATGGTAGAACGCGTAGTTGAAAAGACGGGATGAGGGGGTTGACCGGTTGCCAGGTGGGTGACTGGAGTAACAGGTTGTCATGACAGTATCATTTTGCCATGCCCCACCTAAGGTATGGTTATATACTACAATAACGTACCTGCATTTTAACAAGCCGGGGCGGACTAATGGGCTATGGCTCAATGGTGTAGTCGCTGGAATTATAATCTCGATATTTAGTTCGATTTACAGTTAATCCATACCGAGGACGGAGATGTTCTTGGGTAATGCCCAAGGACGCTACACGCACAGTTTTCTGTGTGATGTACTCAGAGGTATGATGGAAACTTAGATCGATCTGGATAGATGACGGATTATCTCTTCAGAGTATTGCTGGTTCGAATCCAGCACCCGGCAATTTTTTTTAGAGACCTTTTTTCTTTCGGTTTCTTTTTTCTTTTTTCCATCTTCATGCCACCAAATAAAGAAACGGTTCGCCATTTATCACATGTATTATGAGGCTAATTACAAAAGGTATCATCCATCTTTTATGATGAATGCCTTGAGGAGCCCAGAACATCGGGTACTTTTATCGTGTTGTAAAGTTCTATTCTAGCTCGAGGACTGGGTCATAAGGTTAGCTGATAGAACTAGACCGCATCATAGCTCCTGTATCAGCTGTGACATACAAGTACTTAAAACAGTTTAGCAAAGGACCGTGTACTATAAAAATTTGCTTAGTCCTCGAGGACCGTGGGCATACCCAGGATATTCACTTCGAAGACAATAATCTTTACGCCCCTATTATTTTTTGCATCATTGCAATAGCTTGGATCTTTAATTTGGATCAACGTTCTTTTACATACTTAGGCCCTCGAAACGTGACAAAATACATCTTAGTGCATATCTATGTGATATAAAGCGATGTCGTTTTTTGTATAGGAATGGTGTAAATCATTTATATCTTTTGAGCTTTTTTAACTCATTGTCAGATATTGTACCCTTGATGAACGTCAAACATAGAGTGAATGTCAGGATAAATAGAATTGAACTACTAGGTAACGTCTGTCTTCTACCCTCGTATGAGGGCGCGCAGCGCCCCTTCCATAGTAGATCTACCCCTGGAACTACCCCTAACCCACTTATACCCTGACGCTCATATCCCGACACTCATAAATTACAACTAGCAGTGCCATATTAAATAAGTAGCAAATCCATTATAGGCCTTTAAGGCGCTGAACAGTGGAATGAAGGTCTTTAACATTTCCATTTCGGATTGGTAACACTCATATGGAAATGCAATCAGTAATATAAGGTGCCAGATATTTAAGTTCGAGATCTACTACGTACAGTTAAGAGATCGCCTTATATGGAGGTTCAGCTGATTATGTAATACAATAGGCTAAGTTTATAAGGCTAATCCCGTGAGAATAATTGAGTCAATACTGAAATAATATGCAAATATAGAAGAAATATTTAAATGGTCAACTGAAATGAATTTACGTGCCTATAATCTGTTAGCACATTGAATAAGAAATGTAAACAAGGGATCTTTTCAGTATATAAGGTAGCCATGTAATTCCATAGTCCAAATCAAGAGTTTCTTGTCGGCAATGGAGTTGCTTTGATGCCTTTCAGGTCTACCTCCCAAGACCGCTACTCCAACTGCTTAGCTACTACAATGTTCATTTATTCCTCGCATTGATATCACTTCTTCATAATTCATCAGTTATTATCGGATAGGGGTAATAAATATCTACGCTTATAGGTTCCTAATAACATTTCCTTGATAACAGCAAACTAACAATATATAGGACTCGGAAAAAGATTCAGCTTAAACCTCCTATGGACCATCTATATCGTTTATATTCGTACAATTTACGCGGTGATCCGAGCCATCGTATCGAAAACGCGATACAACTTCAAACATCCCCTTTAGTGTGCCTCTGTCCTGAACCTACCGGCATGACGCCTCGCTTCGCGCCTAACCGCTCGTCTTCTTCTTGCATCTTGGTCATGCCTTTCTCTTCCAACTCCTTGTTTCTTAGAAGTGAGCCTGTGGCAGCTTGCATGCTTCCGATGCTTCCACTGATGGCACCGCTTACGTCGCCTTTGAGCTTCTGGCCGACACTGGCGGACGGGTTGGTGGTGGGGTCGGAGGAGGTGACCACAGAGCCGTCGGTGGTAATGGTGCTCTTTCCAGCTCCTGATGACTGAATTTGCGCCTCTCTCTGGAGGCTGCTGGTTGGGTTTCCGTTGGAAGCCATTATGCTGATGGTATAAAATTGTTTACCCTTTAGGCAATGTCTTTATATACCTATGTAATAATAGTTTCGAATGATCAATCTTATTTTCTAATAGAGATGTCCGTAATGTGGAAGTAGTTAAGTTGTGCTCATGCTTTGATCGATGCTTTGAATTTCACTGTATTTTATTCGATATATTTCCACGCGTTGACGTCATGTTGCTGCATAAATCCGAGTGACGTCACATCTGATTGTCAAAAGCCGCTGACCTCAACTACTTACAGGTAGTACACTAACCCATTGAAAGACAGTCTTATTTGGTTTAAGCCGTTGGATAATCTTTAAAATATCATTACTACTGTCAACATTATTTACTGAATCAACTAGTTAATAGAAACGGAGGCTCTCGTTGCGATTAATACGCGAAAGATCAATTAGGTACCTACCTCTTAGGTATATAATAATCATCACTGCGCCGTCATGAATATCCCCGAGTGGTTTTTCGCATGCAAAGCGAGTATCGTTTCTAAACGATTCACTTATTGCGTTGAGTTTTCTTTCAGTCTCTTCTCCTTCCGGACTCTTCTGGGTTTCCCAACTACCGCCTCCTCCCCAGGGGCTACCTCTTCCACTTCCCCATGGGTTACTACCACCGCCACCACCATTGTTGCCTCCACGAGCATTGATCCAAGGATACATAATTATCAGTTGTTTCAATCTCAATCAAGTTGACTCGAACTTCTTTTATCTCCTCAACTTCGAGAATCGTAGTCTAGATGCAACTAATCCATCTGTTAACATCACTCATAAATTCTCCTTATTGCTAATAAAATGATATCTATTTTCTTAATATCAACCACTACGGTCCTCCCACCGCATAATTGACCATTCGCATGCATGGTGCTATCAGGTAGCTAATGTGGAGATTACCTCATATGATCTAATCCCTGTTATAATCGTAACATTCAATGTGATATTCCCACCAATCGTAGGCTAAATGAAGACGTTTAAAGAAAAAGCAGCCCGAACTCTCCTAGCTTGCTTTCCGGCTATTCGACTAGAAATAACCCGGGTCCCGAGGAACTGGTATCCAAATTCGGTTCTCTACGGATGTTAGACTGGGGTTCTTCAAGGTCCATTTCTTAGGTTCCTCGGCGCCGTAGCTGTTGCGGTCTAGTTTCTCACCGAGAATGGAGTTCCGGTATCTCTGTGCGGAGCAAGCTCCCACTCTATAACTAAAAGTCAAAGGGAGGCTAATTTATTTTCTCGTCCACGCACATTGCAACATGGCGCCACTTGCGCGAACAGTGTACAATGCCTGCGGGCTGCTCCTATCGGGACTCCTGCTGTTAGGATATCCTCCAGCCACTGAAGCAGGTGTCGTTAGGAGACTTTCTAACGAATATCAAGTCGCATCGGTAGGCCGTGAGCGCGTTAGCGTTAACGATGGCTGGCGCTTTTCTCGTTTCGAATCAAATCCGGATTCATTATCATACAGCACACTGAAGGAATGGATTCTCCCTTCCGGCAACGACTTCATCGTCAACGGTGCCAAGCATGAACGTCCTGAGAAAACTGCTCCGGGCGGCGACGTCAAGTATGTGCAAGCATCATTCGATGATAGCGAGTGGGAGACTGTGAACGTTCCGCACGATTGGGCCATTAAAGGTCCTTTCCATGCCCCAGGGATTCCGAATAGCATGGGTGCCTTGCCTATCAACGGCGTAGGATGGTATCGTCGCAACCTGACAATATCACCAAGCGACGCCGACAAGTCTATTTTCTTGGATATCGACGGCGCCATGTCAAATTCCGCGGTGTGGATCAACGGTCAAATTATTGGTGGATGGCCCTACGGATACAATTCTTTCCGTTTGGACCTTACTCCGTACGTAAAGGCTGGAGAGAACCTGCTAGCGATCCGAATCGACAACCCTTTGAACTTCTCACGCTGGTACCCCGGTGCCGGTCTCTACCGCAATATCTGGCTTGTTAAGGTTGACCAGACTCATATTGGTCAATATGGCACGTATATTACGACCCCGGTCGTATCTGCAGAATCGGCTGATGTCGAGCTAACCATTGAGATTGAAAACAAGGGAAATTCTAGTCGCCAGGTAGGGGTAAAAACCGAAGTATATGTCTTCGACGCTGAAACCGGGAAAGCTGGAACAGACGTGATTGCATCCTTCCCACAGTCAACCGTAAGCGTATCAGCTAGCAGCAAAAAGTCCGTGAATGCTTCGGTAACGGTAGAAAATCCACGACTCTGGGGACCTAAGCCGGATCAAGTACCTAACCTATACGTCGCCGTTACGAAGCTTCTTTCCAATGGTACCGTCATCGACACCTACGAGACGCGCTTTGGTATCCGATCTATCACCTACGACGCTAACACGGGAATCCATGTAAACGGCAAGAGGGTTTACATCCAAGGCACCAACAACCACCATGACCATGGCTCGATCGGCGCTGCATTCCACCTCAGAGCAGCTGAGCGTCAGCTAGATCTACTACAGGAGATGGGCTGCAATGCGCTTCGAATGTCTCACAATCCACCAGCCCCTGAGCTGCTCGACCTGGCGGACACGTACGGCTTTTTGGTCCTGGACGAAATCTTCGACGTCTGGAAGCAGCAAAAGATTGAGGATGACTATCACGTATATTTCGAGGAGTGGCACGAGCCGGATATCCGCAACTTCATCCGACGTGACCGTAATCGTAAGTATTACCTAGAATTATTTTCAATTCGAATTTCCATCCTATTTAAGCAGTAATATATGCCTAGGTACTTTTAGTCTCCAAGTCATATTATACTCATAAACATTCCTACGGTGGCAGCGAAAGAGGATTATGAAAACTTAACTGACACTTACCTCAGACCCCTCCATCATAGCCTGGAGCTTCGGCAACGAAATCGTCGAGCAATCAACACCTTCCGGCGGCGCAACAGCCCGCGAACTCCACAGCATCATGCAAGAAGAGGACCCAACGCGACAAATCAGCGCCGGCATCAACAGCGCAAAGGCCGGTAGCGAATTCTCCAACGCCGTCGACATCCCTGGCATGAACTACCAGGGCGAGGGCCGCGGCACGTCGTTCGATTCGGCGTACCCAAGCTACCACTCTACATACCCCGGAAAAGTGCTTTGGAGCACCGAGAGCTCGTCGGGCGTCAGCTCGCGCGGGACCTACATATTTCCGGTGACGAGCGCTAATAGCACGACCGTCGGCGACGATTCGGGTTCGGATCCTACGACGCTATTCGTTAGCGCGTATGAGCTTTACGCTGTCTCGTGGGGTTCGTCGCCGGACAAGGTGTTTGGGATGCAGGATAGGTTCCCCTATGTTGCGGGCGAGTTTGTGTGGACTGGGTGGGACTATCTGGGCGAGCCTACGCCGTTTGACACCGAGGCTCGTAGTTCATATTTTGGAATTATTGATCTGGCCGGGTTTAAGAAGGACCGTTTCTACTTATATCAAGCCCGTTGGCGCCCTGATTTGGTAAGTACATCTTATTTCTGCTTGCCCTTGGTATTTAATGGGTGTTATTTCCCTGTGGTATATGAACTAACCGGTTGATAGTACGTAAAGCAAGCTCCTCAATATCCCTTAAAAGATTCATGTCTTGCCGCTTATAACAGCAAGCAAGCAAAACCATGATGAGCCCTCTATGCAATATACCCTCCTTGATTGAGTAGTTACTAACATATTTCTAGTCCTATGGCGCACATCCTACCTCACTGGACCTGGCCCAGCCGCGTCGGCGAAGTAACTCCAGTCCACGTGTTCTCAGGCGCCGACGAGGCCGAACTATTCGTCAACGGAAAGTCCGCCGGTAAACTTCAAAGGGAACCATCCAACTACCGCTTCCGATGGGATAATATTACCTATGCGCCGGGCGAGCTGCACGTCGTCACGTATAAAGACGGTGCTAAATGGGCCGAGGATACGGTGAAGACGGCTACCGAGCCTGCGAAACTAAATATCACAGCGGACCGCACGACAATCCGCGGCGACGGTCACGATCTGTCGTTTATCACTGTTGCTGTTACTGACGAGAGCGGTACGACTGTGCCTGAGGCTAGCAATGCCATCACGTTCTCTATCTCCGGCCCTGCCGAGATTCTGTCAACCGACAATGGCAACCCCACCGACTTCACTGCGTTCCCGAGTTTGACGCGTGACGCCTTTAGCGGACTTGCCCTTGCTGTTGTCCGTTCGGAGTCGGGGGGTTCTGGAGACATTACAGTCCGTGCAGAGGCGGAGGGACTTAAGGGGGCAGAGATAGTGCTGAAGGCTACGTAAGTGGAAAGGGGGTTTATAGTATCTAAATATAGGCCGGATTAACGAAAACAATTCATCTTCTTTTGCCATGTAAACTTGTCCGGCTTAATGAAACCTCCCTCTTCAACCTTGAGGACATGTTTATGCGTTTAAATATCATATTCTCAATCGCTTAATTAGAAATTTGCTATAGCCATATCAATCCACGATCAATCCTTCACAAACCCCTTCGCGCAAGCCTTCACACTCTCCTCAAGACTAGTCCATCCGTCCTGGCCCAAGCCGCGCAGCAATTCCTCAGCCCTCTTATTCGGCACTTCCGTCTGATCCCATCCGTCATCCTCCAAGACCGGGATATCCTTCTGCGGATACAGCTTCTTCAGGATCTGGGCAATCCTAGGCCAGCTGTACCGGTCGCTCCACGGGTAAAGCCTCTCCCTGTCTACCCCGGGGGTGATCAGGGCCGCTACGTAAAGCAAGCCGGTGTCGCGCGTGTCGGAAACCCATTGCGGTGGTAGCATGGATAGAACCTCTAGGTTCTTGCCCTCGTAGAGCGACTTCACCATGCCGCATGTGCTTAAGATACCCTGGTTTTCGGGGTCTAGACATTCGCCGATGACTGTGTCGGGGAGAATCGTGTTGAAGGTGAAAGAGGGGTTCTCTCTTTTAACCCAATCCCAAATTCGCTGCTCGAGCAATGCTTTGAATGCCATATACGGCCGGATTCCTTTCTCCTCGGGAGTAGCGTCGCTCCGGACTATTCGCACGGCATCGTCATTATAAGTCCATTCCGTCAATTTGACCTTCTTAGTTGGATCTGGTGTCCATGTCGCCCATGCACTACTCGTATAGATAAATGCCTTTACGGTAGGTTCGTTCCTCGCTGCTTGTAGGAGCGCTTCATTCCACGGCACTTCCTCTTCGAGTGCCTTGTCGATATCCGAAACTGCTATGCCTACACCGCCGGCTACGGCTACAACGGCAGCGACTCCTTTGACAACGTCATTCCATGCACCGGGAGCACCGAAGTCCGATACCTGCACGATCTCTAATTGACTTGATGGGTGACGCGATGCGAATAATGGCACTATCCACGTGCACTTGGAAGGGTTGCGAACGGTGCCCCGGACATTATAACCCGCCTCCAGGAGACGATCGACGACATGAGAAGCAATTAAACCATTAGCGCCGGTAACGAGAACAGTAGAACCCCGAGGGATTGTCGGGTTAGCGAATGTAATTTTTGACATTTTGATGTATGGTCGGAAAGAAAGTTTGTAGTTGAGCAAGACTTATCTTGATGTGTGCCATGACGGAGTTTATGTACATCCATTGCGTCTACGTCTATTGCGTCTACGTACATATGAGGTAGTCATTGTATCTACAAGGTATTACAAGTGAACAGTCGTACAGAATTGTTTCACTGGTTATTTCTTAACCACTTAGGTTTATGGGTCTACTGTAATTGGATCGCTGGACGGACTCTGAGTTTCGGCATTCCGAGAGGCCGCAATATTCGTAAGCACATGTTGCTTACAGCGCACCACCTATCGGATGTCCAATCCTGGAGAACCAAGTATAGCACTCGAATGTAAGATATACCTCTTTAAGCACGGAACTTCGCATATATTCTAGTTTGTATGACTTCACACGTTCGTGTCTCCGATGTCCTTGTATATGCGACACCCGTCTATTTCCGTTATAAGTCCTATTATCCCGGTTTTCTGGTTCCTTCTTCGGTCCGAGTAACTAAGAACGGAACAGGCATCGGGGCCATCTAGCTCCGGCCAAGCGCTTATAAATGGTAACCACTTTCATCAGAATATATTATTGCTCGTTTTTTATGAAGTAAATAAACATCTTCTATATATCATAATGCATACAGTTACATTAAAAGTCCAATCTAACCACGTACTCAACTCGCTACCATCAAACACCCCATGCGCTATAGTGTTCAAATGAACCTCCAAACAAAAAAGAATACCTAGTGAGTAAAGTAGTTCGCCAATGAGCTTTACTTCTGAGGAATCCTAATCAGCAGAGACCCGATCCCGCTCCCGGTACCCCATTCCCGATGCGCACTCTGAATATCCTCCAAGTCCCAGATTTTCTTGATCGGGACCTTGATGGTCCCGTCCCTCACCATGTTCAACAAGGTCGTGACATGGGGTTTATACGTAGACGATTGACGGGAGACTCCGTAGAAGGTGGTGCGTTTACTGTTCAGCGGGTTAAGGCCGCGCGCGAACATTTTTATGATGTGGCACGTTGGGCTCTTATTATGTCCGTCAAGCGTTTTCCCGTTGTTCCCGTAGGCTACGAGTATGCCGTCCGGTGTTAGAATGGAGAAGCTCTCGTCGAAGCTGTCGAAGCCGAGCGGGTCGAAGACGGCGTGCGCACCCCCCATTTCTTTCATCTTGTCCATCCACTTCTTATCCGTGTATACGAACGGCGTGGCGCCGTACGCGCGGATGTCATCGTGGTTGCGCTGACTAGCCGTGCCGTATACTTCGGCTCCCTTTAACTTGCAAAGAGTCATGAGAGCCGTACCAACGGACCCGCTGATACCGTGGATGAACACTCTTTGACCCTCCGAAACCTTTGCCGAATCCATAACCATCGCATATGCCGTATTCCAGTCGCACGGCAGCACCGTTGCTTGCTGGTGGTCCACGCCATCGGGTACTTTAATGCAGTATTTTTCGGGTTGGTTGACAAGTTCTGCTTCGGCGTCGTACTTGGACAGAACCGTTACGACATCGCCGGGCTGAAATGCTTTGCAACCTTCACCATTGGCGCGGACCGTCCCGACCAAACTATACCCAGGAGTGAAAGGTGGGCTCTTTTGAAAAGGGTAAATACCCTTTCGCATGTTGACATCGCCGCCAGTAAAGGCTGCGTATTCAACCGCTATTTGGACATGGCCTGGGGGTGGGGGTAGGCAAACATCGTCAACTACTTTGACAACGTCGACATCACCGAACTCGGCAATAACAACTTTACGAATGGCTGTCATTATCGCTAAGGAGGTTGACGGGAGATAGTAAGTTGATGTGAGGCGGGGAATAAAAATGTATACACTCAAGTTGAATCTTTATATCAAAGACTTATAAACGGAGGATTGACTTATGATTGTTGGTAAATAGTAGCTCGACTGACCTGATGAGTAAAAACTTGGACGAGATCAACACTATATATATACAAATAACACACAAAGCAAGTGGTATGTTTTTAGACACCTACAATCTATAATGGTAAATATTGCTCAGGGATGAATATTCAGCTAGTTTCATCCTGCGTAACTGCGCCACGGCTGAACAGCGGCGCGAGTAAGCATCAATCCAGCCGGTTCGGCATAGACCATCCACAAAAAAAACGGCTCTCAGTCGGTGGCCCACAAATTCGGACGGCATCTTTGGAATCGGGGGATTGAAATGGGGCTTTGTACTTGACCGTCGGGGCAAAGTCCGTCCACCGGAAGATTGTTAATGCGCGTATGAGATACTATTTTTAGACGATATTCAAAAATAGTTGACTATTCATTGAAAAGGCGATAGTTTAGGAAGCACCATGACGTTGCTTGTGTCCATTTAAAATAGCCTCGATAATTTTCGCGGATGCAGCTGTATCGATGAACTCGACTATTCGTGATATCTTCTTTCCGTCTTCCGTAAAGTCCACATACCAGCAAATTTCCAAGGCGATTGGTTCGCGACCGACAACTTTGGTCCAGTGCTCGACGTGTGCGCTGCCCTGGCGCTTAATAGGATCGATAACAATCTCTATTATTTTGACCCTCGACTCCTCCATGGCCGCGATCTCCGGTACCATTCGTGCTTCGTACTCCGCGTTCGTCTCTTCTGCTTTAATGAAAGGGTAGGCTTTAATGAAGGTGACGGGTTTTAGATACCGCAAGCATTCTGGTGATAGCAGCGCAGAGAATAGAGAAGCGTCTTTATTCCGAACTGCGAGTGTGCTATTTTCGAGGAATCTCGTCAACGTGGATTCCATGACTGCTCGAAGTTCATCTGTGGAGGATGCCATATTGAGGATTGGATTCGGCGCATCCAATAGATGATGTTCAATATAGTAGAATAGTTATCTCTTTAATTTTAGTTTCATCTTAAGTTCCGGGTAGATCTTTAACCTCTGTTGCTTACCTCATATGAAGTACAAAGTCTCCTAATTCTATTTTTGACCCCGCATTAAGATTAACTTTCAGCTCCAGTCCCACTTTTTATCTTTTCAATCACAAAGTCCAAAGTCTTCGATAAACGCGACAAACAGGTATTACTCTCCAACTTCTATGCCTGGGTTGTTTCTTGGCCAAAAATTCCATCATGGAGATGTAATCCATCATGGTCATACTAAGGCTGACAAAGCGCAAATTTGGGGATAGTAACAGGTATCTGGTAAATCGGTTCTAAATAAATTACAATCATCTAGCGGCGCAGATATTCCATCGACATTTCTTGGGCTACCTACCATCCGAACAGGATTTGCGAGTAAATCCTGGCTAGATATTGGTATGATGCGCTTACTTCTGTGCCAGTAACTCGGCATCCTGTTGCCCCGAGAATGCGACGCGCCACGTTCGACCGCTCGCCTCAGGACGGGGTATGAATTTATTACTGATGTCCTCGTCGGGCTGTTCCATGGCCACTGCTTGTGATGACTTGGCGGTCGACGGGAGCACCCAAGGCATCCTATTAGCCGGTTGGATATCAAAACGAAGTAGCAACAGGGTAGGTAGTCAGTAGTAAGATCTTGCTTGTGGCAAAGTGACGTCCAGGGCAAAGCGTCGTACCCCCGCCAAATCCACGGAAGGCGACGGCGTTGATGCGTTTACCACCATTTTGCTGCTTCATGAAATGCTTGTGGTAGAACTCCTTCATATTCTCTCCCCAAACAGCCGGGTTTTTGTGCTGAACTCTGGCGGACAGCATAACAAGACCACCTTTCTTAAGTAAGTACCTATTGTCCAGTACATGGTCCTCTGAGACGACGGGCACCGAGTTAGCCATGCCGTGATAGCGGAAAACCTCGTGGTAGGTGGAAAGAAGGATCGGACATGAGTTTAGAACGAAGCTGAGACGAATTGTGGAGGTCCCGTCCGGGTCATCCCGGACAGCTTGCTTTACTTCATCGCGGCACTCTTGCAAGACGACTGGGTCGCTGAAGATGTGATAAATCACCCAAGATGCAGAGGAAGAGGTGTTGGCGACGTTATTGAAAACAGTGCCTAACAGTAGGCGTGGAATATCGATTTCAGGTATCTTCTGGTCAATGCAGTGTTTGGTGAACTGTTGGATATAAGCGGATCCTTGCTTATAGCTGCCGTCTTCATAATAATTTGCGAAGCTCTCGACAAGATTATCGCGGCTCTGGATTGCCTTTCTAAAGAAGATATTTTGTGGGAAAATGTCCAACATAAGAAACATAAGAGCTGGATGATATTTGCTAGTGGTTAAGATCAGCCCTTGTTAGCATAGACCTTAACTTACGTGGATGGATACATAGGTAGGTATACATAATAAATACTAGGTTTTCTGTGTTATTGTAGTTGTTAAGCCTAGGTCTGCACTGTGTGCGGTTGTGCAAATATACCCACCTCCTATATAATAATGTCACGTAACACAAGTTCCCCGAAATCTGTTGTTATGGTTTTATTTTAGCTGCTACCTTCCCTGTATAAAGGGGCTGAATAACAGTTTGTATAAATGTAACCAACATGTGTCTCGACCTAGGTAGTTGACGAGTCCTCGGCTTGCCACATAGAGGTACATATACCTTATGAAAAATATTGAAAAGTGAAAGGGTTAACAACTTGTTTCTTGGATAAAGAGCAAACGCTTTACAATTGAAAATTTCTTGGCGTCCAGACCGTAATACCCTACGCTGGATATGCCGCTGCTACGGCATCATATTCCTTCTGCGTTAACGGTGTTACAGAACCATGTTTCAAGCCAGTAGGAAATCCAGATGTGTTCGATCTTTTCCAGCTCGCTGCAGACTTGATGTCTAAGGTTTCGTACGGAATATATTGGGTGTAGTCATCAAGTAGTAGATGGTAGAGGCCTGGCGTCACGTTATCGGCGAACGATGCCGGACCTTCACGTTGAGAGTCTGATGCGATATGGTCGCCTACATGGGTCCAAGTGCCGAAAAGGCCCTCGGAAGTAATATCTTGGGAGATCTGACTAGTCGTCTCATTCTTGTAGAATCGAGTGAAGGCTCCCGGTGTTCCAAGGTATTGGAATTCTTGATCGATCAAGGGGGTATCAGCAGGAGCCAGGTAGTCGCGTGGCTCACTAAAGGTGGTGAAGTCTTTCGTAGTTGCGTAGCGGATTTTATCAAGCGTAGCTGTTCCTGTATGATTCGTATCCGAAGAAGAGTAGTGCCGCGAAGCCCAGAATAGGTAGTATTTGGAAGTTTCGTCATCCCATACCGCTGATGGCGCCCAAACCATGCCTGCAGTATCCTTTTCGACCCTAAAGTAAGGCGCTATTAGAATACCCCGGCCTCTAGGTACGAAGGATAATACATACGTTCGAAGTGATGATTCTGACCAATCAACTAGGTTGGACGACTTCCAAACGACAATCCCACGGCTCCCTTGTCTGGTAGCTATGTTCCATGAAAACCCCGAAGCTTTAACATCGAGGTCTACAAGTTATGTTAGTAAGATAATTTATAGATATTGATATCTCGAAAGTCTTACCGGTGGCCAGTAAATAATACTCAGACCTGGCAGAGTTCGTGGCGAGGAAAATATCTCGAACAGCTTTTGACCCCACTGTTGAAGCTAGTACAGCATTTCCCTTATTCAAGAACTTGAAGCTTGATGCACTGTTTCCGTTTGAGAGATGGAATTGGATCTTTGGATTAACATCAGAAAAGGTCGAGATGAGGTAACCGACGTAGTTAGAAGCTTGCCGTGGCACTGCAGGACTCGCAACTACAGTACTGGCTAAGGCAGCTACGAGTACAGTGAAAACAGTACGCATGATGGCGATCGATATGTGCTTGTTGACCACTCTGAGGGTGGAAATTAACTTCCTTCTCGCTATAACTATGGGAACTTATATATACACGACCCCAATTATGCGAAGAAGCCGGAAGTTAGCATCAGTTTTTCAATGGACGGGAAAATTAGAGAAATTACATAAACAACATGTAACTTAATGCTACGATAAACCTGGTTTGGCGGTGATGTTCCTGACTCCACCTTCTTAAATTCGGTATATAAAAACAGTGCATGCGGAGAACCTGGTCTTCGAAATAGGCGCTCCAATCCGATCATGGGTCGTATCCTGATCGGGAAAGAAATTCTTAGCTTCACCTCTTGAGTGTCTGCTAGGACAAGCAAAGGGCCTGAGACCCAAGGCGGGTAGAACTCTGGATACAAAGACGAATTCACCACTAGCAATACTAATATTTAGTTAGTAGATAGAAGGAAACATGTACATAATAAACTACTGCTACCCCTAATGAACCTCGTCCTTTTCGCCTTCGAGCAAGATCTCGTGACCAGTTCCTTCGTAGACGAGCATCGCAGATGCGCAACCCAAAGCCGAGATAAATGCAACAGCCCACCAGCTCCAGCCTACCATCCCCATTTCTAGACCCGAGCCATACCACCATCCGCCTACAATAGGTCCAATCGTCCGGAAACTTGCTGAAACACTTTGTCCGATGCCGTGAATGAGACCTAGTACACTTGGGTGAGGACTACAGTTGTTTAACAGTATAATGCTAGCTGGCAACGTGATTGTGCGTGCAGTAACTTGAAGGAGTTGGATAAAGGTCATGTACATCCATATTGCAGGACCTGAGGCAGGCTCCGAAGGATCGGAGGACGACGGTATGATAGCGAGGTATGGTGTGAGAAAGTATGCGATAGGGAATAATGGCAAAAACCATCGGAAGCCGCGTAAAGTGCCCAAACGTGCGTGGACAGGAGGGTAGAAGAAAATCTGAAGAATCATGCCTAAAACTCCCAAGATAGATGTCGCAACGCCAACAGTCGCAGCAGACATGCCGAGGCCGCCTGTAAATATCCACGGTAAGGATCGTGATGTAGTCTCATTCGGCGATGAGCGGGGTGAGGAAAGGAAGAGCGTCCATATGTTAGTGAATGCACCAAGCTGAAAGTCGTAGAATGCTTCGGTTATTAATGTAAATATAACATTTCTCGTCCATACACGACTAAAAGGTAGCGCTCGTCCGTTCCTCTTAGGCTTCGGTTCCTCGTACACGAACGGTCTCTCGCTCTCTTCCCTGTACTCAACTGGACTGTCTGGAGAATTCCATGGCTGGAGTTTAAAATAGCCGCTCCCTGCAGGAGGCTCGCGAAACACGATGCTCTTTAGACGGGAAGCAAGATATAGGCCAATGTCTCTTTTCCCTTTTCTTTCGCTTGAAGTCTATCCTTTCTGTTAGCTAAAGTTGACAATAAGATATACGGAATGGCCTACCTCTTCAAGAGCAAAGAATACTACCAAACCCGTGATTGCTAAGGTGACGGCATTGAGGACGCTTGGTAGAGCATAAGGATACTCCTGAATCCAGCCGAAACTCCAAATAGCACCCTCGTCAAAAAGGCAGGGAAGTGATGTTGCGGGATCCGCTAATAAACCTCCCATTACTAGAAGTAGCATTAAAATATGATACTTTGATAATACTGAGGCTTAAGATAGTCACTTACGAGGTCCTAATATATTTGCTAAACTAAAGCTAATAGGCAGTATCAGAAAGGCTCGGGACTGGTATTTTCTCTCAACTGTGATCTCGGCAATCATAGTTCGTCTACATGACAATGAATTAGTCAATCATTTACTTCTATTCGATATTTTGGATTCTCTTTTACTTACATTATTCCCACAGTGCCATTGATGCCACCTCCAGCGGCGCGCCAAAACACAGCCGAAGAGAAGCTAGTTGCAAACCCGTAACCTAGACACGAAATTGCCGTTCCGAAGAGTCCAATGAGGAGAACCCGCTTTCGTCCACACCAGCTAGCATCCGCAACTTTGCCCCAGAGAAACGCAGTAAGGACCTGCGCTCCAGTAAAAGCACCTTGGAGTATACCTGACTGATTCGATATCTCGGAATCGGAGAGGGTATTATCAATGGCTTTGAGTTGAAAGAAGACATAAGCCTGTAGAGATGCTACTTGCAGGAAATCGACTAGGCGACATAGGAAGAGGATTGCCAATTGGTCCTTGCGAGGGAGGGACATCCAGGATGTGTCGTTGGATTCCGTCTTGGAATATTGTGACTCTATGTTATCCCGAGAATACTTATCATTAACCTTAACCAAGGCGGGCATCTCGTCTGAGGTTCTGTATTTTCCATCACTCTTGGAGAATGCCGATACCATCGATGCTATTGTGGCATGTTGCATTGTGAATTGGAATTATGAAGTTAAACTTAGAATACAAATAGGAATGTGGTATGAAGCTAAAGAGAATAAAAAAAAAATAGAAGATGAACGTCTATACGAATATAGTAAGATATTTAGATGTCTTCATGATTGTTCTATCTAGTATGAACGTAAAGACTGGAATGTTTCGAACTATTGGTCAAAACTAAATGAAGTGACAAGATGAACGCTGGTGCCGCTATCAGTTGTTTTGACTACTTACGAAGTCGTCTGCATCATCGCCACCTATGTAGTAACTACTCTAAGTCTACGTAATAGCAACTTGTTTAAAATAGAAATCGCAGTTAACCTATCAGTCCAGCATATCAATACAAACCCGTATGAAGCGTTGGACGCGCCGGGATTCGTAGGGTAAAAAAGGGGGCGTGGAGCCCGCGCTTAGAGTAGAAAATGATCTTACGGGCCGCGCGTCAACGTAATGCTAGATAGCACAGTGGAGACTACCACTCACGACTACGTAGTATCAGCCAACCCAGCCCGAGGCTCATATTATTTTTCGTCAGCAGTGTTTCGAAACACAATTTATGACACTTGAGAAATATGCTTAGAACATCCCCTAAAATGTCTTGTGTGTAGCCGAGCTAGATCTAAGTGGAATCGACCAGTATACGTATTTGTATGGTACGCAGTTTGAGCCGCAGCAGGAGTTAGTATTCGCGATGAGTCCAAGGTATGTTCATTAAATGGGATATCCCCAGGATGTCCATTACCTTATTCCTCACGTTCTTTTGGTGCTATAAATTTGGTATCGACATTGAATAGGTACCCGGTAGCTCAACACTATGATGCGGTTATCATGGACTTCTTTTCTTGCTGTCATTGGCGCTGTCAACGGTATACCATCGAGGCCTTCTGATGGTTCGTATGATTTTGGCTATGAACGCAATGGCTACGGGCCACACCCGTTAACGGTTTTCAAGTCTGCCACGCAACTAGAAGTACCTAAACTCGATGTATTACAGTCAAGCAAAGCATGCGACTCGTCGCTATACACTCTTCTAACTCCGAGAGGTGGTGCTACGCATGAGCCCCAAGCGACTATTCTCGACAGCAACGGCGATTTAATATGGACATCTGGGTGGAACGGACAACAGTTATATAACTTAATGGTGCAAGAATACAAGGGGGAGAAGTACTTGACCTTCTGGGCTGGAAATGATGCAGTTGGCGGACATGGTGCTGGTACTATCATAATGGTATGATACACACTACCTGCATCCAGTCCCTTTATACACTGCTTTTACTAACAGAAACTAGTTGGATAAAACATATTCCCTCTTTAGAGAAGTTAGGGCAGCCTATGGGCTCGATGCGGATTTACACGACTTCCGAATCACTGAAGCCGGAACTGCCCTAATTACAGTATACAATGTGGTCCAACGAGATCTTACCGAAGTTGGAAAGACTCATATTGGACCGGTGTGGGATTGTGTGATTCAAGAAATCGATCTTGAGACAGGGTTGGCCATATTTCAATGGCAGGCGTTGGACCATTGGAACTTGGCCGACAGTTACAGAGAGATCGGTGGTGACGGAGAGGGCGACCGTGCGTACGACTTCTTCCATATGAACAGTATCGACAAAGACTCAAGGGGAAATTACCTCACTTCGAGTCGCTACATGCACAGTCTGACATATATCAACGGCACCACCGGCGAAGTAATATGGATTCTTGGTGGCAAGAGGAACATGTTCCAAGACCTTTCGGACGGCACTGCGACGAATTTCGCTTACCAGCATGACGCGCGATGGTCTGGTAAAGATACAATCACCATCTTCGACAATGGAGTTGACGATGTCCATCGCGACATAGCACTAACCCGCGGTCTAAAACTCAAAATCGACGAAAAAGCCATGACGGTGTCTGTTGTCGCGGAATATTTCAACCCACACAAGATCCACGGTATATCTCAGGGGTCTTTCCAATCACTCCCCAACGGCAACGTGCTTCTCGGCTATGGCAATTCTGCAGCATTTACAGAGTTCGCTAGCAACGGCGACGTCCTCTGCGACACGCATTTCGGGCCCGAGAGCAGGTTTGGGACGGCGGAAGTCCAGTCTTACCGAGTGTACAAGTACGAATGGCACGGGATGCCGAAGACAAGTCCCACTTCGGCTATCCGAAAGAACAGTGGGAGGAATTGGAGCTTCTACGTTAGTTGGAATGGGGCAACCGAGGTCTCTAAATGGATTCTTCAGGGGTCTGAGGATCTTAATGTCATCGACGGCAACTGGAAAGAGTTAAACCGAACGGAGCGCTTGGGATTCGAAACGGAATTCGAAATACTTGAGCCATATCCTCAGTATTTGAGAGCGGTGGCAGTACATACCGAAGGATACATGCTGGGTGTTAGCGAACCGATCGATGTAAAACAGATAGAAGACCAGGTAAGACTTTTATATCCTCACACGCACACATACAATCTACTAACATATCACAGTTAAAAACTACTAGTGTCTTAAGCTACATAGATCGTGAAGATCTATCGACTCAGCTTGTTATTATAGCCGGCTGTGCTCTCGTTATAGCCGTTTGTCTGCGGATAGGGATTGTAGCTTGGAATAATAGGCCGACAGTTTATTGGCGATTGCCAACTATACCAAATTAGCATTTTTTTTATGTATACTAGATACCAATTCATAGCTTTTCTTTTCTTTCACGATATTTCGCATTATTAAATTCCAAGAAGGACGATGTACGCACCTAAGACAATTTGGTAGCAATTTGTAGAGCACAGTGCGCGTAACACGGACGAACTTCAACAGCTCCTTTTTAGGAACTCTATTAGCACTTATATTGTCTAATACCGAAGATAGACATTTTAATAGACATTTTTATAGATAGAGAAAAGGAGTTATTCTTAAATATAGAACTATGCAAATATGTCTAACACGAAATTCCCCCGCCAATCTTCGTCCGTTGGATTCTGCGACCATGATATGTTGAACACATAATTAACGCCATAACACCACTATCTACATCTCAAATCTGGAAATTATAGAACAAGCCAAGTTAAAACATATTCCACTGGATGCGGAATACCAAGTACCACGCCAAACCAATTATCAGCAGAATCTCCACACCCTGCGCCGCAACGTTAAGCATCTGACATCTATTCCTCCGACGCGATCGCGACACAAAGTCCTTGTTATCGTTGACGTTTGGAAAGGGGCAGTCCGTCGGTACGGACTCGCCTAGGAACTCGCACAGCGGCTCCCAGCCGTCGGTAACTCTATACTCGAGCAGCTTCTCCTTGGGCACCATAGCTTTGACTTCAGCGTAATGACGTGTGAAAACCGCCTTCCCCTTCTCGGGGAAGTTACCTTCGAAAAACGTATCGAAGAACTTCTTCAGCATCGGATAGTACATGCTAGCAGCCCAGCTAAAGTGAGACAGGATGCGAAGCTCGGGGTCCATCACTCGCCAGTACACCGTTCGCATCGTCGATGCGTGCCACGAGTCGACGTCGCGTCCTGTGAGCACAACCTTCGCCTCGGGGTACGCTTCGATGAGTTCCTTTGCGAATGCGCAGGCGGGCCAGTCGCATACCGCCTGTGCGCCGCCGAGAAGCTTATCCCAGTCTTTGCGGGTGAATGGCTCGCCGACGCCGTCGTATTTCGCTCGTAGCGCGTCCATCCATAGGAGAGCGTCAGGCGGGTTTTCGATGGAGCAGTTCATCATGTGGTAGGTATCGACATATCCGAGTTTTTTCATTGCGGCTCTTATAGCTGTTTTTAAGTCAATAAGTTTAATTCTTGAGAGCTCACTCTGGTATTTGGGAAGCACTTACATGTAGTTCCTGTTCGTCCACATCCCAGTATAAGGACTTTCATTGGAACAGTCCGGGTACATTGTCGCCGATCGATATCGGTATCGGCGGTAAAGATGTCTGTGAGTGGCTTCGGGGTGTATTTCGACGCGTAGGCCATTTTGATATAGTTAATGGTAATTTGATAGGTTAAGGAAAGATCGAAGACTAGGTAGTTAAGCGTCGATTGGAAATACGCCGCGATAGTTCAAAGAGCAAGATGTTATAGGCGAGAAAGGTATCGGCAGCAAAGATGGTAATAACAGCGTCCGTATAAGAAAAGGCAATCTTAGAGTGTCTAAGATTATAGTAAATTGAGTCTTGAGCCATAGACTTCTCTATACATATGTATACGTTTATTCCCCCTTCTTCATGGACAAGACCCTTGAAAAGGGGCTATTTTTCCATCTAACATCAGTCTTCGGTATCCCATAATTAACTCAGCCGCCGATGTGTAGAGAACCACGAGTACATTGCAAGAAATACCCGGTTTACCTGTCTAATCTCTACCCATAACCCGCACTAAGTAAGTGGCTAGATGAGGAACTAGGTGTGCATAACATTCCCCAGTCCTATCCAGTAGTAGCGAAATCGCAAAGCCTCAATACGTACGAGTCTACTTTACCAATCTAGGATCATGGCTATTATTGTTAGCAATAGCCTTACCCACATAGAATTACAAGTTAATGAGATAGACAAAGTTCCTATCCTTTCGAGAGTCACGCTAATGTCTACCAGGTTCGAAACTCCACTTAAAACACCATTACGCGGCAATTTCAAGGAATTTCTATCATACGCAGTGATGACGAATTAGTTATTTTAAACGTGAAACATTTATAGATATAACTATCGGCTTTAACAATGTCTTCATGAGTTGATTTCTTAAAACTAAAGGACGCGTAATTCCAGCGAACCCGCGTTAATCCCGCGTCTAGGTAGTTAAGCTAGTTGAACAATTGGCGGAGACTTCAGGGCGTTGTCAACTCTAGCGTCATCAGTCACTACAACTTGACATTGTGATACGCAAAATTCATAATAACAATTCTTCTTTTTCAATAAACTAAGATAATAACTACGAGTTGGTTGGTTATGATACTAAGGGGTAAAAAAATTTATCGCAGCGCAAGATTTGTAGTCCAACGAAATTCCGAGTTTTTCCATGAGATCCATTAGCTTACGCGTACTCTTTGCAAATCATATTTTACGTGGAATCATTATTTGTAAAGGACTCGCAATAATATAGTGGCGATTACAACATCAATGGTAACTATTGCAACATTAGTATGCATCGAGTACGGATATTCGTAAGACACTATGATCGGTCTCTTGCTCGCAAGCGTCCTGGGTCCATCCCGGCCGGCGCAAGGATAGACGGCGGGCTTCCGGCAGCGCTTCATATCCTCAACATCTAGGTAAACGGCAAGGATTAATCCCCGTCTTGGCTGCCTCACGGTCGCTTCTCCTTGTCTCCTCAATCGGTATGTAATTGGGATCGGAACTGACATGGCCTCCGTCAAGACGGTATCCGAATGGTACATGTACGCTCTATCAAGATAATAGTAGCACGTGCATTTATCAACTCATTTTGGACGAAAACATTGGCTACATCCCGCTTAGTGTGGACTCACCTAACATTCAGCTCCCCCTTTTCATCATCTTCAATGTCGCATATCAAAAACCCTCAACCACGTTAAGAATAGTTAATCTACTACCCATAGCACAGATATCTCCCTATATTATCCACGAGAGTTTATACCATGGTTTTTATTGATAGCGTGAAGCCTGCAACACGATAATTGTGCTTATTGAGGTGCATGTGTATTGTGTAGGGCTAGCATATCGCAAGGAGCGGCATTGTCTATACCAAAGTACTGAGCGAATTGGAAGGTAGTCTTTCCCAAGGGCATCACAGCCTTGCGGTAATAGACCCTTCTTAGTCGCATGGGGCCCTAAATGTAGGAAATGGCAATATAGGATCCTGTACGAGTCAGTATCTGCTTCCGCCTGATACAGAGGAGCTTTTTCGTTAGGCGCGTAGATGAAACTAAATGCCAAGAATTTGCTCTAATAAAGAGTAAAGGGCGAAGACTTAGATGCGTTTATGGTAGTCATCTTCGTACACTCTTAGTCGTTGTATATAACTTAGTACAGACAAGGTACCTCCTTACGTAGGCAGATGCGAACATATAAAAAGCTTTAGACAACCCTTTGATTGTACCTCCAGTAACTAGAAGCAAGCCAACATCTCGTTTTACGAAAGCCGTTAGCTACCTCATATACAATCTAGGCAGTGATCATGGTTGTCGTCATATTTATAGAGTTGCTAACATGATAGTGTCTAATCATTCATTAGGACATAGGCAATGGCGTATACTTGATTTCTTGAATAGATAATTCTGCATAACGTATCAGAGTTTACTAAATAGTTATATATATAAACAAGATGAGACATCTATGGTATTAATATCGACTAAGAATATATGAGCGAGTTATAGATTCCTTAGAGAGAGAACCGAATGAGGTGGCCCGAGCGTTCTTTACCATCAACCCCTTACCCCTATTTCCATAATTCAAGCAACTACCTTAGGTAATCATAGACAGCCAGGCGCTACGTTAATAGACGAGCGACGACTAAGAGCATACAAAAGCACCGAATACTAATCGTTAACATATATCAGGGTTAGATAGATATTAAGCTGGGAAAAAGGTATCTAATTTACACGAAAAGATCTTATCCAATTGACAACCCAATCCAAAGGCAGAGTAGACGCTTTACGACTCTGAAAGTTTATAACTATAAACTTCATGGCAGTTTAACTCTTCCTCATATATCCGTACTCATGATAACAATCGAACGACACTCTTTTGTGTTCTTAGCAGATACGAGAATTGGCGATACCGGCCCGTCCTACCCATGCCAACGGGTACGACCTAATGGTTCATTGGGGAAGGTTACAAGGATCACACTTAACCCGCTTCCGGAAGGTAGATTTTCCCACGCATGGCAAAATACCGACCATATGCGGTGAGCTTTGCGATGGCGAATATATAAATTGAAGGCCATGTTCAATCCGATTGCCAGTGAGCCTTATCTCCCCTCGCCTGCCAGGAACCCCGCAATGAATACTGTCAAGAGCTTCCTCGTCCAAGCCGCGATCACCAGTGTCGCTCTTGGGCAGTTCTGCGAACACCAGTGGGAGGGGAAATTCGCAGACCATGAGGTAGATGGCGTCCCGTATCTGCAAGCGAGGCAGAACGTTGCTCCGCCTCCATTAGAGATTCGACCCCTCATCGTGAATGGTCCATCAAGCAATCGTGTCGATCTCATTTTCTTCGGTGACGGATGTACGTACCTGTATAAAAAAAAATGACTTTATACTATAGGACTTATCAAGTTCCCCTAAACTAACTTAATACTGTAATCGGATAGATACCGAAGATGAGAAGGACAAGTTCTTCGCCGATGCTCTGTTCCTCGCAAATAACATTACTGACGGACAGACATTTTTCGACGTGCTTCCTGTATTGAACTTCTGGGCTGGATTTTCACCAAGCAACGAGGTGGGTGATGTCCCTTGTGATATACTTGATATAATATTTCGTTTCCCTGACGTCTTAATAGAGTGGCGTTGGTACTGGTGGAAAGCCCCTGGAGTAGGTCCCCCCTTTTTACGCAAAATTCATGCTAGCCAAAAATTACTTACCGATGCATCCCAATAGCACCGTCTATGGACTTTACCGCGATGGTACAGAGCTTCGTGGTGTTTATTACGACAAGCCCGAAGTAGCACGTGCTGCCTGTCAGTCAACAGACGCATGCGATTTTCCCATTCTTCTTGGGAACGACCCATTATACGGGGGATTAGGTGGTACCTTCACGTAAGTCACGCAATATCTCGTACTTGTTCGTCGTTAAAACTTGCAGCGTTACAACCTCCTCGCCTAATAATGGACCTGTGATTATTCGCCACGAGTTAGGCCACTCGATCATTGGCGTAGGCGAAGAATACGACGGCGGTGAAGTGTACACCGGCGTCAATGCGGCAAAATCCACCAACTCGGTGCCCTGGACACAGTGGTATACAGATGCGTCTACCGAGCCTAAGATCCAACGGACAAATATGCCAGTACAGGAATACCCTTGGACACTGCTGAATACGTCGCAGAGCTGGATCCAGACTTTCACCTCAGCAGGCACATATTCCACTCATCTCCTCCAAGTCAGCGTAAGCGGCGTGACGGCAACTAGTGACTTGCTGGTAGAGATCGATGGGAAGGACGCGGGCTGGGAATGGAATCCCGCAGTTGGAGAGGATCGCTATATTTATAATATTAAGATCAACGAGGCGCTAACTCCAGGAGAACATGAGATTAAATTCACACTACTAAACGAGGAGAGGCAAGGAAGCGCGCAGCTTTGCAGTTTCGAGGTTCTTGAGTATGGGGATGAGGAAGAGTAAGCGATTCGCCGTCCTACCTAAAACTTACTTGTCTCACATACGCTTCTGTCTAGGTTCGACTTTGAGCCACGATACCACGGATTATATCCGACGTGAGTAAACGTAGCTTCGCCAAGCCTGCCTTACGCAAGCCAGTGCCGTTACTAATACCCAATAACCCGTCTAGATTTTCCAGCAGAAACGTAACCTCATACAGGCCGACAAACGATCTTTGCCTAATGCGAGACACCTATTCTTCCAATTTCTGCGACGCCTGCATCGAGGGACTGTGGCTGTCTCTGCTCGGCCGACTCGCCCTGATCGACAACATCACGCAGGATGCTCAGCCGGACGGCTCGACGAACGCCACTCTCAACTTGCTTCCCCTTGCGAATCTTAGACAAGTGCCAAACCCGCATCAGGAAGCCTACACAATTCTATGGTACGGCGTTGACGGGACGACGGTTTTGGAGGATTGGACTAATAGCACAACTGCACTTCTTGGGCCGGACATCACGGAGTTTGGCGTTGAGGTTAGGTTTACGACGGAGCAGGTCAGAGTTGATAGTGCCGGAGTGCTAGTGCAAAAGGAGAGATATTCAGTGGAATAGTCGAGCTGTTACTAAAGCGTATAGATCACTTCGATTACGTCGATCTCTAGCAGGCTCATAAAATGGCTATTAATCTAGAGTACTCTTAATCTAATCCAGTAACGCCTAAAGCAATATAGGTATACGTTCTAAATTCGTAGCAACTTCGTTGACGGAAACGATGCTACCAGCCCTAGCACGGCGCGAATAAAGTGAAGTCCTGTTCAATCAACGGACCCCTCCGTGCTAGATCCTTGAGCTTGCTTTTCCAGCCATTCTTCATTAATATAGCGATAATCCTCCGGCCCATATGAATCATACATCTCTGTAAGAGCATTACTCTTCCGAAACGGATCCAGTCCGAGGTCTCGTTGAAGTAAGTCGAAATAAGGGACGGCATCAAAGATAAAATTTGGGCCTTTATTCCCCCACTCGGTGGGATACCGCCACCTGCCGAATCTATTGTGCAGCACGGTCTCATATTGCAACTTCTCCATCTCCGCCTTATCGTCGATGACCTTTGAAGGATCCCTTGTCAATTTTCCTGAAAAGTAGGCGCTGACCCAGAGCCCTGTGATGTGAGCAGTAATGACGTTGCTTAAATTGGCTTGACAGCCTACGAATGCTATATCCCGGGGGCGAAGGAAGCGAGGAGACGCAGGGACAAGAAAGCGGTGTAGCATATATGGTGTCAGGGGTGTACGAGATTTTTCACCAGTGCTGATTCCTTTCTGGTCTATGAGGGGAACGAAATTCTTGTTCCATACTGGCTGTATTTTGAGTCTCGGGAAGCGTTCCAGGATCTCCTTATCAGCTCGTTCTAGAAGCATATGGTTGTTTGCTAGATCTTGTACAGGCGCATTTTCTAAGACCTCGTGGGGAGTTCCAAGATCTTTTTCGATCCCCTCTGGAAGGAACTTGATAGGTGGCACATGCTTCCAGCCCGTATTCGCTAGAAACGCCTCAGATTCGAACTCGGTACCATCAGCAAGATGAACTTTTCCTGGGCTTAACCGGACGATCTCCCCGATATGAATGTCGACCTTGTCACTCTTAACGAGCTCGAAAAAGTCCTGCTCGTAGTTGAGAATGCTATAACTGCATCCCGTGAACATGACGTGAAGCCAAGGTTTCAACTTGGCTGTATCCGGGTGAGAGTCGAGTTTATTCAGCGTAATGACATCCTGGCTGAGTATATTCCAAAAGCGATCTACTAGAAAGCGACCAATCGCGGTCCGATGATAGAAATACCGGATTCCCCAATAACCGTCAGCATCACCCCAGATACACGGGCTGAACCAGGTAAGAAAGCGGGTGTCTAGGATAGGATATTAGCATAAGTGCATAACTCAAGACGAGGTATATTAGTAGATAGATACATGGAGGCTAAAACATAGACATTACTTACTCGCAAGTTTCTCGATCCACTTCTTAAACGGCGTTACATATGGAGGCGCCATCCATACAGGACCATGACCGCTCGCTTTCCTTTACTCAGCCCATATCGAGAGTATCTCGGCATTACGAGTAAAACTTACATCGAATGACCCAATTTACTTTGACGCCGGCCAGGGCATATTGGTATACGGCATCCCATCCAGACTTTCCAGCCCCAAAGACAGTAACGGTCTTTGCTTTCAACGTATCCAAGCTTTTCGGGAAGTCCTTGGTGTGAAATATCTTCCCATCGAATTTATCCTGTCCGTTAAATTTTGGCATGAAAGGTTCCGACAATAATCCAGTGGCAATGATAAGCTTATGAGCCAGAACCTTGGTCGTTTGTTGTTGATTACGTTGCTTGATCGTCAGAATCCACCCGCCTTCAGCTGTGTCCTGGTGTTCCGCAGTAAGGACTGTGGTTTCAAGCCTGATGAAATCAGCGATGCCAAATTCTTCGGCATACGCTTCGAGGTAAGTGTTAATTACCTCTCCAGGAATATGTTCGCCCGGATTAACGTCGAACCTATCCGCAGTCATGGGAAAGTCGGGGTATTCATATGTCCCTAAGAGATTATTACTCTTTAGACCTGGGAAGAGCCTATTCTTGGCCCATTTGCCACCCAGGGTAGATTGGCCTTCAAATATCAACAGGGTACGGTCAGGCTGTGTGCAATGTAATTGTTTTGCTGTGGCAAGCCCATGGAACCCTATATTCACCTTAGTTAAATAGGTCTACAAAAAGGAAAAAGAAAGAAAAAAAGGGGGAATGTTGTCTGGAGATTCCATTCTACTAATAAATGGAAATATAAAAGCCAGATCACTTACCAGCACCTACTACAACATAATCACACTCTTCGATTACAGAGGTAGACATTATAGTAAAGGTACCTAGGTACCTCTATACCGGCTTGGGCGTGTTGAGTATTGAAACACCATATAGAAGTGAAATGTTGCGTTAAGAATGCTTCTAGAAGGGAAGAACAGGGAGCAGCGGAGTTATTAAATTTCCACAAGTCAAGGCTTACGAGGCTGCAGAACAATTCAAAGACCGAGATAAGGGATATATTACCGAGTCATCCCTTTGAATACCTACCTACCCCGCTGCTTTTCGTGGTTCATAGCTTTGGTTACACTCATCTGTTGCACTTATACAAGACTCCAACAATTAAGAACTGCGGCTACACGCGGTAGATGTCTTAGACATTCATTCATTGAGTGCTTAAATATTGATCTCTTCACCCGAAGCCAAAAACAAAGATTACGAGCCACGATATCTTCCTTTCATTAAGTACTCACTAATGTATTTGCTTCCGCTGAGATCTCTAGGTGGCTATAGCCTAATATGCGCTAGAGAAACTTAGTACCTTTCTAATATCATCCTACGTTCGTTCCCGAGCCGACAAGAGCTTCCTCTGGGGGTCTAGAATTATCCACCCTTATGAAATAAGTTTTCTATGTATCGTCACGTTCAAATTCTTCCGTGACGATACCAGTACTAATTATTCAGGAGTTTGGTATCGAGTCTATTACTCAAATTACGCTTTTAGATATTTTATATGATCGAAACAGGTAGTCTTGTCTACTCGGTTTGCGTTGTGGCATATGGCATGGCAAATAATAGTATGACTTACAGCATTATCTCCGGGTTCTCACGAATATAAGTTAAGGTAGGTATTTTGGTATTAAGTAATCAAATCTCTCCTAAATAAGACTGATTCTAGGGTTATCGGTTACAAGATCCAGCTTGTCGGGTGGTTATGTCATTCAATATTGCTTTAGCCCCTGAAGGCTTCACTATTGGTCTTATATACGAGACCCCACGTGCTATACCCGCTATTATATTAAATAACACAATGTCTTTTCAGACCGGTTTGTCCCGAAGTTGTCAGCCTCGAATATACGCTGCTTTCCTTTTTGTCGTCGCAAGTTGGATTGCCGTCATCGCCACCATATTGCTTAGATGTCGACCCTTCCACAAATACTGGCAGATATATCCAGATCCTGGGAGTTAGCCGGTCAACTAATGGCTCTATTATTAGACAAACGTCAGCTGTTTATCACCTACCAGCTCACTTGGGTGTATTATTGTGCGAACGTTTCTACTGGTTTATATCCCTTTGACTCTCCTCTGGCAAGCAAAACTGAAGTTACGAAGAAAGTTAGGGTTGTTAACGCTCTTTAGTAGCGGCATCTTCGTCATAATATATGCTACTCTACGTACTGTAACGATTATTGCCGCAAGTAACTGTCTAAAGGCTTTCCCCTAGAAGTCAACTGCCAATACAACAGCGCTTTCGAAAGAATGCTGATCAGGATGCACATCTAGCGGGCTCCTGGGCCGTGAGAGAGTCATTTGTAGCAGTTATCACTACGGACGTCCCGATGGTTGTACCTTATAGCAAGAGGTTCCTTGATCCCATCTTTACCACCTTTATAGCAAGCTTTGGGAAAGGAGATCTGTCAGAAAAATTGGGATGTAAAGCTTCTGGGACGATTGGTGGTGGTGGGATTCAGAGTTGGCATGGTCGTGGTCCTCGTTCCGCTAACCCTAGGTATCACCGAATCTACTTTTGGTGAAAGTGAAGAGCGAATTGTAGAAAAAGTAAAAATGCAAGACTTTAAAGTCAATGCCCCTGCTCAAGTATCCGGACAGAGTAGCGGTGATAAGATCCGAAAAGACATTGGATTTACTGTCATTAAACCTTGAGTCCAATCAACTCATAGGAATCACGTCCTACATAGGTATAAGTGCTAGGAACACTTAGGCTCGGAGATAAGTCTTTGCCACACGCAGCGGCAGAGCCCGCCCTTCCCCAAGCCCCAATACGCCAGAGCCGAAAGAACACCGTATGATACATACAGTGTCATAGCAGCAGGATGTTCGACATGTGGGATCTTCCACAGTAGAATCTGCATGAAATAACTTAGCGCCCGGACACCATAATCTATGTAAGATGTCACTCGTATCTTGGCCATTAACTCGACGATAGATTCCTTGTCGATCCTTTCCAGGCCTATACATATGTGCATACAGCTCCGGGGTATCCGTCACGGCTTCACCGTTAGCCAATGTCTTCACGTCTTCCTCGCAGCCTCACGATAGACGTCATAGCTGAGATGAGCTCTGGAGCTTTTGGGCCGGTGTTTCATCTTTCTACCGCCAAATTCTGAGACATTCCGCTACGGTGGCGCAGTGCAATAATTTAGCTATATGCATGTCTCACACATCTCTGCCGTCTTTCCGAGAATCAAATCAGCTCCCCTCGTCTCGTCCCGCGTAGGTAGCAGGTATCACCATCCATTCTAGACTACCTAGATACCACTTGCCATGTCAGTCTCCATCCATTAATACCTGGTCAGCTGCTTGTTATCTGAGACTACCTCGAGGGAGATATAGGTACCTAGCTTTCGGAATTTAAAATTAGCTAGGTTCAAGAACAACAACTACCTATCCAATCGAATCACAACCATGTTATAGAACCACCACCAACAATAATGACAACGATCATGACAAGTAGTGAAGATCCAGCTAAGCAGGCACCGCGACCAGCCAAGACCAAGAGAAAGTTCATATAGGTGATAACACCTGGACGGCCGATCAAGCAAAAAAAGGGCGGGCTTGAAGTTCAGTGTAATATACATGATTAGGGTGGAACTGTTAGCGACATAGGAAGTTAATACAGCTCCATACCTAATGTAGAGAGTAATAATTAATTTATACTAATCGGCTCTCTGATGAGTCTCTAACTGAGCGACTATGCGCATCGAGATACATGCAAGCATACGCACCCGTAACGAAGAGAACGGCACAAGTAACATAAACGCTAGCCAGAATAAAATAGAAGTAAAAGCTCCATATAATCTAGCATCACATCTCATCCGTTTTGCGACCCGTTCCAGTCGCTACTCCATATAAACGTCGGGCAACGCCACTGGGTCCCTTTCTCCTTTTCGCCCGACGGCCCAATAGGCCGGGCACAGACGAAGAATGACCTTCCTAGAAAGCAAGTTAATATTACGTTGGAGGAAAGTATACTTACGTAGGTAGGTGTGAAGCGACTTACCTCGATTGACGCCAGGTTTCTTGGTCACTACGCTAACGCAGTCCTCTCCATGCTCGCATTTAGGCAGGACTCTTTTACCGCTAAGCAGCTTGGACCAAGATTCCTTGGATTCGATAGGATCAAAGACTCTATCTGGACTAGACGGTTTGGCAGTATATTTTACTTCTTCTGTGTTATTGGATTCTTTCGGTACTTCGGCCTCGAAAGTATTATCAACCTTACTAAGTGGTTCGGGGTCTTCGTCTGTTTCTGGAATTGCACTCGCAGTTGCGGTAGTTTTAGGTTTAAAAAAGCCCTTCAGGCTACTTTGCCCTTTAGACGAGGGCTCTTTGGCCAGAGTTGCCTTTGTTTTTTTTTGTGGTCTGCTGGCCGATGCCGTGCTTGAGGGTGTGCGCTTAAGAGTGCTAGGCCGCGGCTTAGCTGGAGAAGGCGCTGAAGTTACTGATTCAGGTTGTGAAGCGGGCGTTTCAACGGCTTCGTCTTTCGATAGCTCAATTTTAGCGAAATTACTGCTGGGACTTTCTGACGGCTCGTTAATTGGCGCTAGAGCCGACTTCGAAGGTACCGGTTTCTTGGAGAACATATCCTTGATGCTCCGCCGGCGATCAAATTCAGGAATGAGCTTTGCTGATAATGGTAAAAGGTCTTTTGCTGTCCAGTCCCTAAGCCGAACTCCATCCTTAAAAACTCCTGGAGGATTCATAATGTCCCTGAGATGTACCTCTTTTCCGTCAATACTTATAACATCCTTGAGGGTTGCAAAGACTGGACAGTGATCAGACCCCATCAGACCTTCCTGAATATTGGAGTCGATAAACCAGTCCTTCATATCATCACTACATAGGACATAGTCGATTCGACTGCCGACATTGGCGGGACGAGTATTCTTCTTAGTGTCCCAGCAAGTGAACATGCTCTCGCGAGTAGGATGGAAGAGCCGGCCAAGGTCCCATAGCACTGGCTCCTCCCTATTCTCATCCCTGTCACCTAACACGTCTCCCTCGAATATAAGCTGATTGAAGATGCGGCGGGGAGGAGTGGAAAAGAACTCTTCGACCGTAACGCCTTCTTTTCTTAGTCGATCAAAAAGGTTGGCTGTATCCATGGATGTTCGGATAACATTAAGATCGCCTGTTAGGACGACCCTCTTGCCCATGGCTACGAGGTTACGGATTCGGACGTCTAATGCGTCGAGGTAGCCTAGCCTGAAATCATCTCGGTTCCCATCGCTGTTAGCTGGGCTGTAGGTTCCAATTAGAACAAAGGCAGGGAACTCAAGGATGACGCATCGCCCTTCGCAGTCAAGGGTTAGATCGTCTATCAGACCCACAAGCTGGCCAGGCTTTGGGTAACCCCCTATTTGTTGATCTGGGGGGAGGTCTCGGAATTTAGTTGAGGAATTTGGTGGACATAAGACCCCAGTGATCCCTTCTTCTGCTCTGATGGGCATACACACTGAATTGCGGGTATAGATGGCCACGCCAGCATAGCCTACTCTTACTATTAGGTTGGGTTATTAGACGGGCTGTGATATACGCACCTTTCTTGTGCTTGGGTAAGCTGAAGAAAACATCCCAACCAGGTACCAAAACCATATCATCCTGGAGGTCCTTGCGCTGGATTTTGGTCTCCTGCATTACGACTATGTCTGCCTCGAGTATATCGAACATAGCTTCGAAAGTCCTCTTTTCCCTCCATGGCTGGTATCCAAACGGGTTCCTGTTTAGGCCAGTTAGAAGTGAGATGTTGCGTATAGTACATGGTTCCATACCGAATGCCGTTCACTATAGGCGGTGTTAGTGAGATTAGATATGATGAAAATGTGAGAGGATACGATACGAACCATTCCACGAAGTGATGCGCACGCCCATGATGTCGGAGATGCATTCACAAATTTACAAAGTTTTTGATAAATTTTAAGGTGCATCCCCAGTCATTCCTCGTCTATTTCGCCCTTTTCATCTACTACCAACCATCATCGGATCTGTGCTGGACTGGCGGAGATTCTGGGACATGTACATTAAGAGGTCCCTCTAATATACGGTGGGTTTCGGTAAGTGGATTCACCGCGGAATCGCTGGAAAGAAGTTCTAATACAAATGACGGTGCATTTCTTTCCACTTATAAATATTGAAGAGAATCAAGCGCCCCTTCCTTATTATCAATGTTTACCTTAGGTAATAAAACTGTCTGTAAACCTTTTTCTACGTGTAGTTGCACAAACCTCAATTAACCGTGCATACCGCTGGAAGTCGCGACATTCTAATCGGTGTTAGGTACCACGCACGCCACACCAAAATGACCCGAAGTCCCGTGACACGCGTCATGTTTAGAACCCCTGTCATATGTGTAAAGCCACAAAAACGGATCCGCCGTATCCCCGCGGATTTACCGAGGCGAAGAAGCACAAGCAGCTCTAGCTTTACCTAATACCGGGTTCTAAAGGTCTAATCCAATCAAAAGCTGACCTCATTCGACAATTGAAATCAGACCACCAAATCCACAACTAAACAACTAAACCTGGAATCCTGACGAGTCGACGTCTACAACACTCTCCCCTCTAAACAACGAACGAAGATATAATACGTGAAAAGACAAACCACGATGCTTCCCCAGCGACAGCTCCTCCGCGCGACGCCGCGCTTGGCTTCCCAGCTGCGTGCCGCCAATACCACACCCGTCTTCCGCTCCGCTCTGCAGCGCCGCTTTGCTTCGACCGAGAACGCCTTCATCAAGGAGCGACAGGCTGTCAAGGAGCACGCTGCCGCCACCACTGGTAAGTTATCTAGGCGTGAATAATACTAGGAATTGGATTGCTGACCCCTCGCAGAGCTCTGGCGCAAGATCTCCCTCTAGTAAGACCCATCCCTCCATCTATTCCGTCCCCTCGAGCGATACGCATACCGCCGATATATATATATCGCAAAGCAGAGTTAATACACACCACCCTACCGCATCGATATCAATCCACACGCACCAACTTCTTCAAGTTCATTCATTCATACGTTAGATGTTAGATCCAACCCAAACAAAGCAGCTAACAAAATACCTCAACCCCTCAGCGTCGTCCCCCCCGCCATACTCCTCGCCGGCGTCAACGCCTACAACCTATACCAGGAGCACTGGGAGCACTGGTCGCATCTGCCCCCCCTAGAGGAGCGCGTCGAGTACCCCTACCAGAACATCCGCACCAAGAACTTCCCCTGGGGCGACGGCGACAAGACCCTATTGTACGTATTTTCTCATCTACCCTTCGTATGTCTAAGAAAGGAAGAGGGAAAGAAAAGGAAAGATAGAGAAATAGGAGGGCAGGGAGAGAATAGATAAGATTACTAACTCGGGGGGAAAATAGCTGGAACGACAAGGTCAACTACCACAACAAGAACAAGACCACCTAAGCGCCCGACCGTAGTCGAAGCCTATATCGTGGAATAGCCGACGATGAACTAACTACGGGAAGCGTAGGAGTGGAGGGAAGTGCATGCGGGAATCAGTCATAGAGCAAGTCGCCCTCGACGAGCAAGACGAGAGACAGGGCTGCTTGTGTGTATCTTCGACATTGTAGATATGCCATTCCTTTTGTCAACCCAAAAGCAGATCAATCAATCAATCATCTTACCTTGACAAGCATATATACCATATGTTAGGTACATATCATTACTTATTATCCTAACACTGGTATGAACCTAGTATGCTTGTCTGGGGAGTGCCTAACCTAACCTACCTAACTCAAGTCATTATCTACTACTACCTCATATACGAAGAAGAAAACAAGCACCATAACGGGCAGTTAATATATATGTATAAAAAAAAAGGTAGGTATTTACTACGTAAACCAAACTAGGGCACATAGGTATCTTAGGTAGGTTAAACAAACAAGTTCCAAGACCCCGACGCCTAACCAACCAACCAACCTATCAACCAATCCATTCCTTCCCTAATTCATTATATACCCTCTAAGGATCAATGCCAGGACCCCTGAACCCCTTTAAGTGTACAGACTCGACTTGACTTGACTGTCTCTGATGTATGGTCTAGTATAATATGTATGTAAATACTGTGGTAACACCGCAAATGCACAGCGTATGCTGATTAGGCGATTTGTTGTGTTGTGTGTAAACTCCGCTGGTTGGAACGGCTGGGTACAGTACCTAGGTAGGTATTGTGTGTAGTGAGTTTCAATCCTGTTAGCTCCACCTTCATTTCACGGCGGTAGCATCACCAGTGACGTGGGCATTGACGATGTTAGAGTCAGAGGGAGCCGATTCAGTAAAATCGGGCTCGGGACCCTCCATCCAATTCGTATACCCATCTTCGTCCCCATTCTCTTCTCCTAGCTCCTCATGATGCTCTCCCCTCTGCTCCTCTACTCGTCTCCTTGGAGGTAGATTAGGAGGCGGAGTATGCGTCTTCACGGACGCCTTATCCTCGTCCTCTACTATCTGGATCAAGTCCTCATTTTCGCCTTCTGCATATTCAGGCACGTCACCATTCAGCTCTTCCGCATCCTCAACCCAAGGCTGGACGTACCCGGGTGAAGACATGGAATCATCGTGATCGTTAATCCGGAATGACGGGCTATTCGGCTCCGAATCTGCCGGCGCCGCAACAACAAGGACATTATCTTCATTGCTGCTGTCGTTACCGGCAATATGGATCTGAGAGATACGTCTGCGCCTCGATGGTAGCGGAGGTGGCGGCAAGGGCCGTCGTTCTGTTTTCGCATCATGTAAGTTACCGGTACTCTGTCGTGGGAGCGATGGTGGAGGAGCAATAGGTTTCCGTTTGGGCATGATGGCCATCGGCGATGCCTTCTTTCCAGGCCCAGGTAGCGGCGTGCCAGGAGGCGGGAATGGCTGACCACGCCCCATAGGCTGATTCAGATCCAGCGGAGGATCGGAAAGCTTGCGTCCGTTAACGCCACCGTTCCTGTCCGTCTGCCTCTGTATTGCGTTCAGGCCCCATCGTTTCGCCGTTGCGGCGACGTTAGACACGGCGGCTAGGGTATTCCGCTTACCCTCTAGCGTCCCATTTGTAGAGCTAGCCGTTGAAGAGGTGTTTTCTCTTCGTGTGAAGAAAACCTTGCCTATTGACCCAGTATTACTCTTGATCGAATTTCTGCTACTAGATGGCGCAGATGAGCTTGGAGGCGCATTATCGCTCTCAGCACTTCCTGTAGAGGAGGCAGTGTGACGTCTGCCTGGCGCTGTAGGGGTGTTATCGTCCTCGCGTACAGGGATAGCTTCGGAAGACGAATTCGTGGAGCCATTGATCGCTTGTGAGGTAGAAGATGATTTACCGGGCGACCCGACGGGGGTATGAGCCGGTGATGTGCTCTTGGACCTAGCAGAGAGATGCGCCATTGCACTAATTGCGTCATCACGATCTGGTGGACTAGACGAAGGTCTGAAAGTTTCGGCGTGCACGGGGTCAGTGCTGACGATAGGACTTGACGTTGAGATAGATCCTGATCGCGAGGGGTGTAGCACCTCTGTCGCAGAGCTTCGTGGGCTCTTTGCTTCGAAAGCTGTCGTCGATGCAGACGGACTCTGACTGCCATCACTTTGTAAACTCTTTTTCGAGTTAAGCCTCCTACCCCAGAATCCTTGTGGTTGCACCGTTTGGGAGGTCTCCATAACGGGCACGGTATGACTCTTCTCTAACGAAGGCTGTTCAGGGGGCGTATCCGTGCTTGTTTCTTCGATATGGCTGACCTCGTTTACATCCCCGTGCTGAGCGGCCATGGTTTCAGTGTTGGGAGAAGTCTCAACTGCGTCATCGCCTTCGAATATTCCTCCGCGCCATTGTTTGTGTTCGGTATTGAAGAACGGAATATCGTCCCAAAATGGTGCTACTAGTGTCTCGGCCACGACCTCCTTGATTCTGTTCTCGATCTGTCGTAGAATCACTGTGTATGTAATCTGCCTCGAACTTACAATGGGCTCAATCGTCATCTCTATCTTAGGCATGGACTGGAATGAGAACCATATGCGATTGCTAGGAGGTGGTTTTATCTTGAAGAAAGCATGTCCCTCCAGCTTCTTTAAGACCACAGCAAGTACGAGGTTGACTTCTCTCACTTTGAACCGAGGGCCTAGATCGATACGTGCTGTAGCAGCGACCTCTAATCTGAATTTGCCGTTGTACTTAACATCGGCCTCCATTCCGCACTCGCCTTCCACACTAAAGTCTTTGAGCCGGGGATTCATGAATAACGGCGCCGAATCTCCTGTGTCGATATTCTGTATCGTGATACTGGTAAGAAAAGATGGTCGATTGACACGGGAGATTTTCTTCGTAATCTTCTCCCTAATTAAATGTTCAATATCCTTGGTCTTGTAGACGCCGAGGAATATCCTCCCGATCAAGGCATTAAGCCATCTCGTCTGTAGGTGATCCTCAGAGGAATGTAACTTCTGAACTAATGATATGATATTCTTGACTTCGAATCGCTGGGGTTTCGGGGCTAGATTCAGACCAGTAAAGGTCTGTTCTTGATTCCTGAGCAGAGCAAAGTAGAAATCTTCCTTGGCGGAGCAGTTCTCGGAGAAGAGGTAGAATGGTTTTGACACTTGAGCACCTCGAGTCAAATCTTTCCCATCCGTCTTCCTGCTCAAGCGCAATGCATTTCGCTTAATAAATAACTCGCCTTCGGGGGTAGGGTCTCCTCCAGAGTATATGCTAATATTGTGGTGGGCTAAAGAGATAACGTGGCGGACCTCGAGCTGCTCGTCGTCGTCAAACAGCATCAAGTGGCCATGTCTGTCATCGATGAGGCGTTAGCTACTCAGTTCCTAAGACCTGCATCAAAGACGGCTAATAACGTACCTCAGTACGACATAGAACACATTTCCTGCCTTCTTAGGTCGCTGACTAACACCTTTACTGTCGTCTAACGGGCTAGGAGTCTGCTTCCTGTCGAAGATGCTTCTGTACATAGACTGGTATACACTCTGGCTAGGCGGGGCGACAGTGGTCGATCCTACGGGGGTAGAACGCTCTATCGGTTTGGCATTGATGCCCATCGGGGTGTATTCACGACATACTGCGAAATATCCTGCCGCTGTGTCGGATTCGGCTAGGAGGCGTTGTTTCGATTCCTCCTTCTGAGCCTCGCGAAGGGCTGTCGTATCGTCATCGGGCTGAACGATGCTGTTGGAATCATTGCCGTCATCTTCCTTTACGATTTCATCGCGAGTCGGAAATGTAAGATGCGCATGAAGTAGTATGACTGCTAAAACTAAAGGAATGAAAGTGACACCACCAAATAGGTAGGTCAATAAGAAACCAGTCCAGCTCATACCCATATCTCCGGCTTACAACAACAATAACAGCCAGCAAAGTGCGAATTTGCTAACCTTTGCGGCGGCCGAATTTGGTAGACCATGGATGATTGATTGATTATGTTTTATTTTCTTCTTTCTTTTTCCGAAAGAGGTCCGAGGTAAAAAGTGAAGTATGGTTAGGTAGGTACCTAGTTATTATATTTAGAATACCCAAGGCTGGTATAAGCTGGTATAAGCTGGTATTATGTATTAGTTAAGTTCGGTTAAGTTTATTACGATAAGGCCACCTTAAGAGCTTCGATGCTCGCGCCAGCTGGAGCTATTACATGCAAGTGGAACCCTTGAAAGGTTAATAACGGATCCGGGCGGTCCAATGGCCTCCAATTGCCTTGGCTATGGGACGTCACAGGCCGACTTTCAGCGCACGTGGGGCTTTTGTAGGTTCGCGGGGCAGACTTCAGTAGCGCCTGATAGTTTAGTTCCTTTAATCAAGACAAGGCACAGCTGATATCTAAACTCTATTAATTATAATAATAATTACTATATATAAGTAGATACCAGGTAGATTCCAGGTAAATATTATTATTGATACTGCATGAATTCATCTCGCATTCAAAAATTAGGTACCTTTCATAAGAGACCTTAGTTACCTCCTATGTTCTATAAAGTCAACGTTTTACCTCAAGGACTGTCATCGTACCCCCTTATGCTAAAACGCCAACCTCTACCAATCCAACTCCTCCACCCCAACCTCGCCCTCCAGAAGCTGCTTCACAGCCGGCTCTATAACACTCTTCTCCGCCATATACCGCGCGACCTGCTTCATTCGCGTATAAAACACAGGACAGTCCTTACTATCGCAGGGCACGCTGTCCAGCGGCGTAAGCCCCGCGCAGCTCTGGCATATCTTCGTTACCTCCGTTAACTTCGTCTCTTCGCGATTAAGCTGCGTCTGCAACTTGAGGAGCGAGGCCGGCGCGTTGCGCCGACATCTCGTGCACACCGAGTAGCCCTCGGTTTTAACCTTTGAGCCGCAGACCAGACAGGCTGCCGCCTTCATGTATGATTCTAGCGTCTTCTTGGCGAACGGGTTCTTCCCGTTACCGTAGGTAGTCGGATCTACGCGTCGGATCCGTTGTACTTTGGGCATTTCGTCGTACCACTGCCGTACGTTGGCCCCGACGAGGTTGAAGATGCGCTCGAGCGGCGGGATCAAGTTCTTTGAGATGTAGTATTCTGAGTCTAGATGAAGATGCGGGCTAGTAAGTAGTTCCTCAGGTGCCACGCAGCGGTCGATGAGACGTGCTCCAGGGGCTCCCGAAATGACAACGTAAGGAACCCGCTCGCCGTACTGAGGCTCCGCTCTCGCATCTTCAAGCATCTTTCTCGTGCTGATCAAGGCGCCTGGTGGGGGTGCTCCCTTGTCGCTATAAGTTCCCAACTTAACCTCCCTTGCAAAGCAGAAGTCTTGCATCGACACAGCTCCGCGCATGATCTTTTCGCATTGTTTCTGGAAATAGGATTTGACTTGACTCAGGTCGGCTGTCTCGAAGAGGATCTTGAGCGCCTTTTCCTCTATCATCTGTTCGGCAGGTGTCCCGTCTCTCCTAACCGTCTCGATACCCTTCGCGTCAAAGTCGGGCTTGACCTGGTCTTTGCTCTCGTACTTGTAGCCGACGTAGCGCTTCTTTGCAAGCAAGACACATGGGTGGTAGACTTTCTCGAACTTAAGCTTGATCGGCCGGGGATTCATGTCCGTAACCGCCTTAGAAATCTCGTTGCCAATGTCGAACGCTTCGTCTTTAGTCCTACCGGGTAGGTAGATGAATAAGCTGTCAGTATCGCCGTAGACGACTTCTGCTTTCCACTTTTCCACCGAATGTATTAGGGCTATTGCTCTCTCGAGAGTTTCACGCCCAGTCTGCACGATGCTATCTGCGATTTCGGAGCACGGCATGCGACCTGAGAACGAGGCTGACGTATATCCATATGTGACGTTTGCAAGTAACTTTAGAGCAAGTTGCCTATTGTTGAGGAGCTTCTGCAGCGTCTTGTCGTCTTTATCCTGCTTCATACCGCTCTTCACCATCACTCGTGTTTCTAGGATTTCTGTCAACATCTTTGCCAATAAGGACTTTCTGACTTCTGCCTTGCAGTACATCATGCCGTTGGGCGATATGTTGATGTGATCTTTAAGCAGTTCCAAGAGCCTCTGTTGCCGCCGATAATCCGTAAACCCCATCTTGTTCGTACCGCGCCAGTTGACAATACGACCGAGGAAAGTTGAGTAGCAGTAATTGTATGCGATCATGACACTAGGGTATAGACTCTGAAAGTCGAGGACAATTAATGGGCTATTGTAGAATGCACTTTGAGGTTCCATGACAAGAGGAAGACACTCAAGAGCATTCTGACCCCCAACCTGTTTTCTATCGGGTGAAACTAATATAAAGTTTTCCGGTTTAGCAATTCTGAACATGATCGACTCTACTTTGAATTGGGAACCTCGAGAGAAAACGGAAAAGAAGTCTACACCTAGGAGTCGTGCTTGTTCACTTGTACGAGGGATGAGCTCGTTCGCTTCGAGGATCTCTATGTCGAGCTTCGTTCGGCTTAGGTAGTATCGAAGGAGCTTGCTTAGGCCATGATGCCTCCCTCCGACATACCATTCCGTTAAGGTCTGCCAGGGATAATGCGGAATCCGTCGATGTAGCAAGTGCCACACAACATTTTCCATTGTGTACTGAAGGAGATTGAGTTCCGATCTCATGGCACGCCAGATGTTAACCATATGTCTACCCGTAACTCGAATAGTCGAAGTAGTGTTGAAGCCCCATCGATCTGCTTCCTTTCCAAATCGCCCGAATGACTGGTTCTTCATCCGCGAGAATTCGTCGCACAGATTATAGTCATATTTAAATCTTGCTCTCTCGATTAAATATCCCCACGAGCTACCGTGAACTTCATACCCAGTAAGGATATCGGGGTCATGCGTCCTAACGATCTCGACCATTCTCACCATTAAGTCGAGTTCCGATGATTCTTCGATGATCTCAGTTAGAATTGGACTCTGCTTCTGCATTCTTCGTGCTAGAGACCCGTCCTCGGAGAGAACAACAATGCCTGATTGTATCGACTGTGATGCATTATCACCAGTAGCGAAGTTCTCATCTGACTTAGAGCACCAGAAAATACATTGAATCTCGTCCTCTTCCGGATTTGGAAAAAGCTTACCCCTGGTGTTGACGTGTACCTCCAAGCTCATCGTACTCATGTATTGAGCTTCATGCTGGACACTTGTAGACTTCTTTTTCTGGGAATACTTAAAGTTATGCTTATTCCTAGGGGTAGGTCCGTCAATCTGTGATAGATATGGCTTGAGCTCAGGGTCGCGAAGCTTTATTACGGGCTCTTGAGAATTGCTTGCTATCTCCTGGGTTTCCGTCCACCAAGTCCGTACTTCGTCAAAACTAGGTGGCAGCTCCGCGATTTCCCAGCTCCTTAGTGAACATTCCTGACGTAGTTTCTTATAAATCTGGTCATCCCTCTCGGTATCAATAGACATCTCCGATTTCACGCCAAAATTGGCCGGAGATTCTCCTGTTGGGTCAAAATCTGGAAGATATGGCAAGGTATTGCCTTCGAGGCGAAATTCCTGGCCAGCATATTCCCGAACTCTTTGCGGGACATCTTTCTCGTTGCTGTAGAATGCATCTTGATATATGACGCTAGGACGATCTAAAGAATGCATGGTAGACAAAATCTCTTCCGCTGAGGGTGGAGGTTGACCATAGATGAAGAATTGTGCTCGAGGCCGAGGGATACACCCAACATCGATAAGTTTTCCGGAATCCCTTCCCTTCGTACTCTCTAGCGCGGAACTATCAGACTCCGATTTGTCCGTGTGCAAAATCGAGTTTTGGGCAGCATCGTCTGTCGGGGTCCATGAGCTGAATCTGACGTGCTTCTCGAGTTCGCCATTGTCACTTTTCTGAGAGCTTGTTTGTTGGCTTAGTCGCAATCTAGTGCTCGGGTCGTTGGGGTTCTTGACGACTGGAAAGTTGAGCGTATGGTTTCCGGATCCTTTAGGATTTTTCTTTAATCTCGATTGCACGACCTGCGTAGATGTTACCTGGGCCTCCCGTCCGTTCGGCTCTCTTAGATTCGCCGTCGGTTTCTCCGTAATGCTTGTTTTATCCACATTTAGAGTGGAAGCAGGCCCTACGCGACGGTGCTTTGCTTCCTTTTCTCCATGAAACGGTGAGTGTGCACGCTTTGCGGTCCTTTTGGGCAGAGTATGTTGTATATCCTGAGGCGCTTTGCTCACTATTCCTTGCTCCTTTGCAATATCCAGCAGAACCTCCGGGACCGGGATGCGTCGTCGATTCTTAGCACGCAAACAACTGACGTACACTCCATTGATAAGTAGTTCAGGACGATTCTCCTTTTCTGAGTCGATACTCGAGCTTGTTGGCTTGAGTGCGTCAGATTGGGTATACGAACCACTTTTGTCGGTATCCTTAGGTGGTAATCTGTTTGTTCCTGCTGAATTCCTTTCGCCTAATTTCTTAGTATTAGGGCCCTTGTTCTTTAATGGGTTTAGACCATAGGATGATTCCTCGTCTAAATCATCTTGGAATACACCGTCCTCATTCAGTCCAAAATCAAGGATACGCTTGTCATCCACAATGATACTGCTAGTAGGATTCTGATCGTTTTCAAACCGTTGGCTTGTTATACCAAGCATAGATTCCAGATTATCGGGATAAAGATCCTCAACAGATTGCAGTAAAGTTTTGACAGTAGACCCCAAAGGTATGTCCTTTACGAAGGTATCGAAAGTAACCTCTCCACCATTGCTCTGCTCGTATTCTTGCTGTATTAGCCCCTGGATCTGATCTCTGAATTCTTCCTCATGAACCCACCCCGAAGGCTGTGAATTGCGTGGGTCTGCAGACATAGAAACCAAAGCCTCCGGAGGGAACGGGCTGTTTCCTGGTGTTCGACCGAGCATTTTTCTTTTACGACGCTTCGTCTCATCTTTCCATAGTCCCGCCATGCTGTGGACAAGTTTTAGATCGGGAGATAGGGGGTACTTCCTCTCGACGAAATCGTGATGAAGCTGCCTCTCCTTGATTTCATGCCGGTTGAGGATATCCTGAACACATATGTCGACTTCGATCGAGCAATGGCTAGCACGAGGAAGATCCGGATCCTCGGTGATGCACTTCCTCGAGACTGACTGGCTATGCCATAGATGAGGTAGTTCTAAGTCATTTTCATATTTGGGCACAGGAGCCCTGAAACAGACCTTTTGAGATTCTATGTATCCGCACCCATAGAGGTTATAGTCGGTCATGAATTGCAATAGATATTGCAAGTGTGCTTCAAAAGGCTGAAACTTCCGCTTCATAATGACTCCCTGTTGAAGTAGCTCGATAAGTCGGGTCATAACCTGGGGGTTAAGCATATAGATTTTAAGATAGAATCGATAGCCGACGTGGAACCCGTAAAACGGGATTCCCTTGACGAGGGTTATCCTCGCCACATATTTGCTCTTTCCATCATGAACATTACGACGGTAACTCACAGCCAAGGCGTGATCAATAGAGAGGTGAAGGCGATATATATAAGCACCCACTAATATACCGAATTAGAACCGTGACTTCACAGGACTCTCATGAACCTTACCATCATCGGGGAGCAAACTCCCATTATACTCGATGTATAAGTACGGAAATGCGCCATGGATATGCGCACACACTTTCTGGCCTGTTTCTGTCGACCCAAAAACTCTAATAACCGGAACTCTGGGTTCCTTGTTCAATTGGGATGGATGGACATCATTGCGAAGTTGAGGATCATATATCGTAGGGATAGCTTGATAATGGTCTATGCAGTTCAACCGCACGCGGAATACGTCCATGGCGATTTGTGCTGTACGTCATAGCGTCAATGCAATTTAAGGATACTTGGAGAATCCAAAGCACCTCGTATAAACTTAGGCAGAGCTCATTTGTTATACATCAGAAAAGTTGTTAGAATCCAGATATGGATTTTGGTGCTTTGTTCCGATATTCAATAGCGCGAGCCCCATCGAGGCGGACGCGTTAAGTGAATCAGTTAGTTTCATACTGTGACGCGCTGTCAGGTGTCACAGAACTAACATTAAGTACTCGGTAAGTGCATATCAATATACCTAATATCCATTATATAGGTAATATTCATACGGCCGCAATCCAGCCACATCTTTAAATATTTGTTCTAGCCACAATTTCGATACGAAGATACCTCAAAGATCATATTACCCAGAGTTCATGCTTGACCAGACTCAGACTTCAACATCAAATTCCTAATCCGCCCTCGAGACATCCACTCCTTCAAGTCACCGCCCATCCCAGCACACACACATATATAAGACACAGTCAGCATGCCGCCGCCGCCGCCACCGCCGTCGCGGCGGAACGACTCCAAGGCATCAGCCGCCTCCAAGGAGGAAAACATCTACATCCCGTCCTTCATCAGCAAGCGGCCCTTCTACGCGGGCGAGGAAGGCGACGCGACCGACTACCTCGAGCATCAGCGATTACACAAGACCAAGGACGACCAGTCGAAATGGTACGACCGCGGCAAGAAGCTCGGTCCCGCCGCCACCAAGTACCGCAAGGGCGCCTGCGAGAACTGCGGCGCCATGACGCACAAGGCCAAAGACTGCCTCAACCGCCCCCGCGCGAAAGGCGCCAAGTGGACCGGAAAGGACATACAGGCCGACGAAGCCATCCAAGACGTCGAGCTCGGCTGGGATGCCAAGCGAGACCGGTGGAACGGCTACGATCCCAAGGAGTACCGCCGCGTCGTGGAGCGGTACAACCATATGGATGAACTCCGTGCCCAGCTATCCGAGGACAAGGAGAAGGAGGGCGGCGACGGCGAGGAGGATAACAAGGACTCGGGCGAGAAATACGCCGAGGAATCTGACATGGGACGACACCAGAGCACCGCGACGCGACAGCTGCGAATACGAGAAGACACCGCCAAATACCTCCTAAACCTAGACCTAGAATCAGCCAAATACGACCCCAAGACACGAACCATGGTCGACGCCGGCGCCACAGTCGACAAGGCCGCACAGCTCTTCGCGGAAGAAGGGTACCTGCGCGCCTCGGGCGACGCCGCCGAGTTCGAAAAGGCGCAGAAGTACGCGTGGGAAAAACAAGAGAACAGCGGCGACACAAGCCAGCACTTACAAGCGAACCCCACAGCAGGCGAGTTCTACCGCAAGAAGGAGCGCGAAGAAGCCGAGCAGAAGCGCGCCGAGAAGATCAAGGCGCTCCAGGACAAATACGGCGGCGACCAGCACGTCATGCCGGCCGCCCTGCGCGACGCCGCCGTGACCGAGTCGGAGCAGTTCGTCGAGTACGACGAGTCGGGCCTGATCAAGGGCGCGCCCAGGACGTCGGCCAAGTCCAAGTACGCGGAGGACGTCTATGTGAACAACCACACCTCGGTATGGGGCAGCTGGTGGTCCAACTTCAAATGGGGCTACGCGTGCTGTCATTCTTTTATTAAAAATAGCTACTGTACGGGTGAGGAGGGTAAAGGGGCCTGGGAAGCGGCCGAGAAGCAAAGGGCGGGCGTTGATCTAATCGAAGAAGCACCTGCTCGGGATGAAGAGGCAGAGAAAAAGATGGACGAAGCCGAACCTACACAACAACCAAGCAAGAAGCGCACGGTAGAAGAGATGATGGGTGGGATTTCAGAAGCCGAGTTAGACGAGTATCGCAGGAAGCGCACAGCGGCAGATGATCCCATGGCAAAGTTTTTAGGGAATGATGAATTAGTTCGGTAGTATTGGCATATCACTAAGCAATATTATAATACATCGAAAGGAGTCAAAGCAGTGGATCACATAGAGCATTGATTTATCAAACGGTCGTGAAAGTTCTTTCATGCATTCCGTTTCCCCTGGCCTAACGCCTTGAGGTATGACCTTTAAAGTAGTTTCATACGCCCATAATGTAATCCGTTTTCCCCACCGGCAAACTATCCACGTAAATTCATGGAGAGTGATGCATTTACTCTTCCTCTTCCTCCTCCTCGCCGTCGTCCTTCTTCTCGGCGGCCTTAGCCTTCTTTCTCCGGACACGGCCGGGACGCCCGCCACCGAACGGCGAGGTCAGAGAGAAGTCGATGTGCTTCTGGGAGTCGAGACGGACGATGAAAGAGGGGACGTTGACGATCTGCTTGCCGACGCGGATGTGGCGCTGGCGGATGAGGACACGGGCGTGGTGGATGGACTTGGCAAGACCGAGCTTGTAGACACAGGTCTGCAGGCGGCGCTCCAAGAAATCTTCGACCTTGAGGGCAAGCACGTAATCGAGCTTCATGCGGGACTCGTCGAGCACACCGACACGAACGAGACGGCGAATGAGGGCATTGCCTTCGAAGAGACGCTTAGGGTCCTTCTCGTCGAGGGTAAGAAGCTGACTATAATATTGAATCGAATTAGCTTTCGTAACTCAAGATACGTTTAAATGCGCTAGTTAATATGAATGGAAGTAAAACTTACCGGGCAGCACGACGAATCTTGGAAAGGGTGAGCTGGACACGCCAAACCTCACGCTTGTTTCGTAGACCGTACTCTCCAACGAGCTTCAACTCGGAATCACTATGAAGGCGACCATGTCAGTTTTCTCGTTCACAATCGACTTAAGCCGAGACAAGCTCTAACTCAGTGGCCGGTGATTACTGACAGACGAGCGGCCTCGAAAGGGCGACGGGGGACCTTTGCGGTCTTGGAGTAAGACCTAGGCGCCATGGTTGCGACTCAATTGTCTTGATGATTTGGTGGTTGGGAGGGGAAAAGGAATGAAGAAAATTGAGGTTGTCGTAGAATGCGCGAAGTTTAGAAAACGAATGGGAAAAAAAGATGGTAGTTAGAAAAGAAGTGGATTTGTGGAATGGAGTAGGGCAAGAGTGGGGCTAAGCTTGATTGGATCCATACAAGTTTACCCCTCGCTTAATCTACGGCAACTTTCCCAGTGGGTAAGGTAGTAGCTTCCAAAGTCCACAACCGCTCACAAGCCCCAAAAAAATTCCTAAGCGAATTTCTCGAGAGCCGACATCAAGAGAGAGAAATCAATCAACCTCCATCACACTCTACATTTCTCCTCACCACACGACAACACCGGCAAGATGGGTCACGCCGCAGGTCTCCGCGCTGGTACTCGAGTATGTTTAATCAATTCTACCCCAAGATATTTAAATTGTACAAGGGAAATTTGTAACTAACAAACATGACAGTACGCCTTCTCTCGAAACTTCCGAGAGAAGGGTTCGATCCGTCTCTCCACCTACCTACAACAGTACAAGTACGCATCGATCTGCAGTATCTCGAATTGGGACAGATTATTGACAATTGGGCAGGGTCGGCGATATCGTTGACATCAAGGCCAATGGTGCTGTTCAGAAGGGGTAAGGCACAAATCCCACGAAAATGCGATCCGACCGAATCCAGGAGCGAAAGCTACGAACTTGGCAAGGATACGATCACCTTTGCGAACCGGGGCTAATTTGGATGGAAAATAGTATGCCTCACAAGGTCTACCACGGCAAGACCGGTGTCATCTACAACGTCACCAAGACGGCCGTCGGCGTCATTATCTACAAGAAGGTGAAGCACCGGTACATCGAGAAGCGAATCAACGTCCGCATCGAGCACATCACCCGATCGCGATCAAGAGAGGACTTCCTCAAGCGCGTCAAGCAGAACGCCGCGCTCAAGAAGCAGGCCAAGGCCGACGGCACCACCGTCACCGTCAAGCGACAAGCCGCTCTTCCCCGCGACGCCCGAACAGTGTCCATGAAGGACAACCACCCCGAGACGGTGACTCCCATCCCGTACGAGACGACCATCTAAGAAGGGTAAATCAGATGGTGGTGCGTGGGTGGTGGTGGTGATGGTGTTTCTGGGTTCTCTGCCGGTTGCTCTTTTCTCATCGCATTAGGGGTTTTTCGCGGCCTGGAATCTCGATCTTCTGTGCATGGCAAGGCATGGATGGACATAGGCAATGCCTAGGAATGATAAAAATATACCAAATGCCAAGAATTGTTTCGAGTTCGTGACTGGGTGCAATATTCCACTTTGATTCCTCACTATGATCTACGTATCGAGACAAGCTTCAGAGTGTTAAACTCATTCTTAATAATGACCAAAGTTATAAAGCAGAAAAGGTAGTCTTTTGGCCTTTTAATCTTTTCATTGATGTTTTAGTGATTATTCCAAGCCCTTGTCAATAATTTACTAGACGGTAATATCCTCGTAACCTCATCATCGCACCCATTAAGCTTCCAAATAGGGGCTCCTCCAATTTTTAAATAAAACCAGACTTCAGCTTCAGGCTCAAATCTCAAGTCAAGTCCATGCTAATCCACCATCTCCTGAAATATACGTGTGCTCCTATTGTCCTATATCCATCCCATCTCCGCCTCATTCTACCTAATCCATAATATCCATCCCGCCGTTCCACCACCCACTACCAATAGCCCTCATAACCACATATCAACGTCGATTACGCTCATAAATATGATTCCCCTCCAACTCAAGAACCTCCCTCTCCCTCTCCCTCTCTCCGTCATATCTCTGAGACGCAGTAAACAGCGACGCGTTCCCATGCTGGCATACTGTCGGGTGTGGGTTTAGCTGCACTCGCGGTGTCATAAACATATCCCATTCATTCGTCACAACTCGACACTCCCGGACGGCCCAAGGTCTGCTGAGTAGCTCAGTCAGGCTTGCGACTAGGCTCTTCCGTTTGCGATTCCCGACACAGTTGCAGCATCCGCCGGTTGAGGTAGTATTGTTGGTAGGTATCTTCGGCTACAGTGAGGAAGAGGGCGGCCTGCTCTAAGCTGTATAGTTCTCCCGGGACCGTCGTTGCGGTAACGATGACTTGGGGGTGAGGGTGTCCGACTTGACTTTCATGGTGAGTGTTGCGGTATATTGTGATAGAGCTCTTGGCTGCTGTGTAGATGTTTCTTTGATGGTATCGTGTCGTTTTGTTAGGAGTTTAAAGAGATTTGTGTTTGTAAGGCTGATGAGGATCGGTCAGGTCTACTCTAGGCCCCCTTTTAGTAATATAGAATCACAACGTCGCAGTTCCGGAGTTAAGCTTGATCGTCTCTAAATATGTCTACCCCCAGTTTCTCACGACGGTATACCCCCCCAAAGAGGAATCTCAACCAAAGTCGTCCAGGAAAAGACTAATCTATTTATCTAAATCCATCTCATCCCACGACGCTCTCCCTCCCGTCACCACATATTTTCGATACGAATACCCAAGTAAACAAGGTCCTACTCATGTCGATCGCCACTATACCCTTTAAACGTCTCACACGCCGCCGTTGACCAACTCCCTCCGCGATCTTCGAAACCGTCCTCCACCTAACCCGCTTAACAGCATAAGTTAATCCGGACGAGCACTTAATTGGGCGGCTATTTGGCCGAGAAGCCCAGGCTGAGAGCTGAGCGTGATATATGATACTACATCGTAAGTAGGACTTTGTCCGGCCAGCTCGCTCGTGTTTTAGTCATTAGCCGAGTCGCGAGATACTCCGAAAATGTCGAAGAGAGCCGCAACAGCGGCTCACAGTATTGGTTCTCGTGATTTGCAAGTCTTGTGACACAGGTTTTCGACTTGGCGTAACTACCTCAAAGGCAGAATTGATAATCATATGTTAATATAAGATTCTTATTTTTAGACGTGTCTTGTGTATGTGGATATTTCGATTCGTTGACCCGAGAATGGGGGCTATCCCGGTATACACACGACTATATTTCGCCGTTCGATGCTTTTCAAATCGACTCAGCTTACATGAGAAGAGCGCATGTTTGGACACCTTACTTTGAGTTGCACTGTACTATTCATCCACGGAAGAGATGGCTGTTGTTACACAAGTTGTCCGATTTGTCGTTATATCGCGGAATGGCGGATGTGACCTATGCTTATGATATCCTTCTAGCTTTACATCTATCACAACAGCTACATTATAAGGCAGAGGGCTTAGCCACATAAAGAATACTGACTTAGCGAAAGAGGCCCCTATAGTGCGCCCAGCCTTCTGCTAACAGCCATAAGCGAGGCAGTCGTCCATACAAACTAGGATATTGTTGGCAGGTGGTCCACGTCACGATCGTGAGTCACGGATTATAGCATCAAGGGAAGGAACGAGGCCCCAGGGGCCCCAGGGCTGGGTATATAAACAGACGAGGTCCCGTAATCCTTTCGAGAATCAACAACGATTCCGCAATACAAGACCAGTTCCACATGGTAGCACCTCAACCGTTCTGACGTCGGTTTTGGCGTTGATTCCTTCGTGTAGACCAGGAAGTGAGGTTATTGCATTGGAATCGTGGTTCCGCGTGGAGAGACGACGCGTTAGAAATAGGTTCAGGTTGTACGGAATGGTGATGCGAGTATGCGTTACTGTACAACGGCGCTGGATAAATGTTCATTTTAGGCCAGCGGACTTTTCTTCGAGCGAAGCAATAAGAAGAAAGACAAGACAGCTTATCGAACGATAGATTGATCGGACGACCAAGGTAGCTCAAGACAATACCGCTCACAATAGCAACGGCAATTACGAGCCAAAAAGATCCCCATACACAGAGCCACCGCCAGGCAAAGACTATCAAACCAAGCCGAGATATTGAAGATACTATGACGACGACGTACATTCGGAGATCGAGAGAGAGATCAAGAGATGCGGAAGGCCTTGTGTGTCAAGTAAGAGTGTGCAGGCCCTGGTAACCAGACCTCGGAAGCACGAGACTCAGAAAGACCAGACTCGGATGGCCGATCTGATAACCTGTATCGATCAGGAATATACACGATCGACAAGGAGTATATACGAGATACAATCGGCAAGGAGTATACACAAGATACGATAGGCAAGAGGGCGGCAAAGCCAGGATATGCAGGATATGCAGGATATACGGGTATACGGGTATACGGGTATACACGAGTATAAGGCTCAAAAAGCATCGTGGACCAGAGGGCGTGTTGGAAGGTGATCCACGTTACTTGACACCTGGAACCCGATTAGGGCACGACTAGGGCCGTAATGTATGCTATATGAGTAGGGCCTATAAAGCCACCGGAATTGAGACTAAAAACACACTTTTCAATCCTTGACCAGTCTATAAATAACGATTTCGCAATATAAGACCAGTTTTATAGATATAGATATATTAATTAGTTATTTAATAGTTACGCAGTATTATGGCGAAAATGAATAAAGAATAGGACTTCTAAGTCATTAGTTTTAAAACAACTACATAGTTGAAGTGCTTATATCATATCCTAAATCCTACTCAACCCACGTCCTAGAACATCTACTATCACTCTCCATTCCTCATGGCAAACAACTCCTAAGCAATCCCTCAGCCCTAGATAATATTTACACTTAAAACAGCTATAAAGGAGGAAAGGAGTTCACATTCAACTTATACGATACTGTCATACATAAGGAAACATGATGAGTAGATAGCCGTTCTTGCCCTTGGGATAACTGCGGCCGGTAACATCCAGGTCGAGAAATCGAAAGATTCACCGCATGACAAATATATGAATAGGTGAGTACTCTCACCGAACAGTGAAGCCACTTTTCTCCTGACTTATATGCTAGGCAATAAAACGAATTTAATAACCAGTAGTCTATTTTTTATTACAAAGGGTCAGAAAGCCAACCAGCTTATCCCTAATGCTACTTACTACTTGCTATTTATATGTATAGCAACAGCAAACGAAGTATACAGCACACATCAGAAGACATAGGTATACGGGCAACAGACACGAACGCGCTCATATTTTGAACGTTCTTTTCTTTGTTTTCACTAATATTGTTTGCGTATTCGCGCAGAAGGCAAAAAATGCTTGCTTGCT